CCTTCTTCGCAGCCGCTATTGCCGCTGCCGACACCGCTACCGCCGCCGCGTACGTTACAGTCCATCAGCGAGCCGGTGCGGGCAGGGACGGGCGCGGGGGAGCTGCTGCATGCGCGGTTGGCGATGACGCCGGAGAATATTAGGCCGCTACTCGAGAATGCGAGGGAGGTGCGTGGGCGGTGCGTCGAGTGCGTCGCGGAGCTGCGCGCGCTGGCGGGGCGGTCTTGAGTGCCGGGCGGGGGAGCGGTAGTAGGTCCATCCGTCCGTTCGTTGTCATCGGCGGCGGTTTGTCTGTTAGATCTTGGGTGTTGGATGTGGATGCTGCCATTCGGACTTACGCACGCATCGCTGATGATGTTCCGTTGTTGTTCTTATCTTGCTTTCGCACCTTTACTTTCGCTGTCACGCTGCGCACTTGTACATATACGCACTTGCACTTATTTATAGTATTATATGTAACGAACAGACGGGCGCCTCGCATGTCGTGTTCGGTGAACTGAGTGTTGATATCGACGGCGCGGGGTCGCGACGTTTTTCGTTACTTGCGAGATGATATACATATAAATGTAACTAGGTACATGAACTGAGAGATGCACTACGAAGGCGAAAGAAACCGGAAGAATCAAGGCAACGCGCCGCTCAGTCATCGCCGATTTTGGGTGCGAGGTAGTACCGGATGTATCCCGTGTCAAAGTCGTACGACACCTATACGCACATCAGCATCCACATAGCAAGCGAGAGAGGAGGAGGGGGGACGCACGAGGAGAGGCACATCGTTGCTCATCATGAGCTGGACGCTGCTCGCGAGAGAGGCACTCTTGGAAAAGTTGACGAGGTACTTCAAGCTGAAGGTCAAGTTCACGTGCTGGTTCATCTCGATGCGCACGGCGCCCTCTGGAACGTCATCCGCGCCCTTTTTCGCCTTCTTTGCGGGCTTTCCGTTCTGTGCGGCAGCGATCAGAAGGGGAATGTTCGATGGGGAGCGCACGCGCACTCACATTCGTAGGCTTCTTGCGCTTCTTGCTCAATGCCTCGTCGTCCTCGTCCTCGTCTTCGTCGCCCTCGTTTTCCGGCTTGGCCTTGAACTCACCATCGTCCTCGTCCTCGGCGCCTTCCTCCATATCAACGTCTTCGCCGTCCTCCTTCTTGACCTTCTCCTTCTTGGCCTTGGTCTTCCGCTTTTGCTTCCGCTCGCCTTCATCTTCCTCATCCTCTGCCTCCTCATCCTCATCCTCTTCACGCTTCGACGACGCCCCCGCATGCGCAGCGCCTTCAGACTGCTTCAAGAGGATATTCCCATTCGCAGCCTCACCGTCCGAAATGAACCGGACGCCCTCCTTCGTGACCTCGATCCGCACGCTCTCGCCGAGCTGCGACAAGTCGCGCACGATCCGCGAGAACTCGGCCGAAGGCATCGTCACGCGCGCCTCGTACTCCGTGTCGGGAATCTGGAGCGTGTCCGCGTCGATGTCCATCAGCTTCATCTCGTATTCTGCGATTCGGTCCGAATCTGCAGATGGCAAGCGAGTCAGCGCATCGCATCCAATGCGGGCGGGGCACTCACTGCGGGCCTCGTAGGTGAGGGAGAGCACGTCTGCGTCGTCGGCGGCTTTGAGGATGCAGACGTCGTCGTCTTTGGCGCACTTGAGCACCTTTGTGAACGAGTTGAGGTTTACGCCGAGCGGCAGCGGCCGGTCGCAGCGGTATCGCTTGAATCCGGACGCGTCGAGCTTGACAGAGACGAGAGCGACGTGCGAGTTATCCATCGCTTGCAGCACCTGTGATTCTTGGTCAGCAGTGAACGCGGGGAGAGAGCGGCAGACGCGTACGATGCCCTCCTCGTTGCACTCAAAGTTGGCGTCGGTCACGAGCTCCTTGATCGCTGCGCAAAGTCAGCGCGCGTCGCGGTGGATGCAGAGCACGTACCGTCGAGGAGACGCTTGAGGATGGACGCTTCGGCGAGGCGGGCTTCGAGCATGGTGGCGGGGCGACAGAGGTGGTTGGTGGCAGAGAGTGGAATGCAGACGCGGTGAAATACGACGCGCCGCGTCACGGAGTCACTAGCGCGTCGTCACTGCTGTCACGCTTTCTGCGACGCGGAGTGCCACTCGACTTGGCCAGGGTGTGGCCCAACTCTTCTCCACAAAAGATGACAATCTCGTCCTGTGGCCAACCAGTCCCTATCGCTGCCGCTGATATGTCATCCGAGTCCTGATATTTTCTCTCTGGCTATGCCGTTGATATGGTTCTACTATTGTCCTGGGCTACTGTAGTCGATCATGATGGCAAAACTGGGAGTCAGCACTGCTCTATCGCATGCCTCCCTAGATTCGTGCTCTAACTGGCGACAGCTCTTAGCTTCTTTCCCTGTTCCTCCTTCAGACATCCATCGACGGCTTCCTCGACGCACCAGCGCTCGTGATCGAGGCGTCAACTGGAGATCTGGTATTCGAAGGTTCTTAGAACAGCGAGCTCCGCGACAAGGGGGTTTGGGAGAGCAATCACATCAAGTATGTTGTCGCCGGTTACAGTGGCATGTAACCTCTACAGCTCCGATAGTATTGACCGACTTCGCGTTTAGCATGCCCACGTTGAGGTACCGCGCAAGCTCTGTTCGTACACGATCCAACTGGCCGAAAGTTTCAGGTTGACTTGAAAGGCTGTCGGGTATATTAGTTCTCATGAAACGGCCATTCGAGAGCACTGAACGGCGGCAGAATCATGCCCCAAACGCTGGCATGCGTATCCCCGTGGGGTCCCACCTCACTCTCTCGCAAACCGTCATCGCACCAATCTTCCTCCTCAACATGAACATCTAATGTAGTTATAGACAATTCTTCTTAGCCACCACGCCTTCGAACTTCCTCGCTGTCTGGCATGTATGGCGTCATTAGCCTGCCATGGGGTGGGCACCTCGCTGAAACTTGACATGTACAAACTCGAGCTCAAACTTCAAGCTCAAGCTTCGGACCTCAATCAGCAGCGTCCAAATTGTTCCTGATCTGGATACCCTTCTGGAGCATGCAGACATGTAGTATTCACTATCTGCGTTCGTGGATGCTGTAGAGTCCCTGAAGACGCGACGACGTCGGAGGGTATCAGGCCACTGCTGATGTACGCGTATGCATAGTGAGTTTATTATCGCCATATTATGACGCCTTCATTGGCTACCACTTTGGCTTGTGCTCTGATCTGGGAGCACCTGGTTTGAGCAGCAATCATTATTTGATGCCGGGCTCCTCGGATGGAATCATCCAGAGAGTTCTGCAGAATTTCGAGCCACACTGGCCTTTTTCCACTATTGCTCGCGCTCTTCGCTTTTTCGTCCATCCACATACTTCATCTTCGAGTATTTTTCTGGCTGACACAACGGGGCGTGGTTGGCACTTGAAAGAGCCCTCGGTCTTCGCTACACCAACCTCATTCTTTTTACGAGAACATCTTTCTTGCGCCACGATAACTCTGTGAGCTATGTTTTATAATGTTGCGTTAGTGCTGTCCTAAGACTCGATCACGGTACCAGTCAGCTCATCATGAATGACGCCTTGCACAATTTTCCAGTTCATCCTCTCGCCTTTCATCAAGGCAGCAGGCGATCGGGATTGAGTGCAAATCTGACGCAAATCGCTATTAAAAGCCTTCTGCACCTCGTCCCAAGGATGTGCAAGCCCTGGCTATATGAGTTCGCCGCTAAGGCGAGCTCTCGCTTTGGTCACCAGCCATATGTCAACATCTTCGGCCTTCCCTTCGGTTTGGTGCTCAAAGTATCCATGGATATTCAAGCCGTCGAGGCTCATGCACTACGCACCATCGGTTCTCTTTTGGGAATCAACGCACCCACCCTCATCGACTACGTATCTACCCCGAGAAGACATTCCTTCTGACAACCTGGATTGATGGTGATTGCTGTTCCGACATTTGGGACGAGCTGACAGCCAGTGACAAGGACAGGATTGTTGGGCAACTGCATTCCCAAGTGAGCTCAATGCGAGAGCAAACCATCACCCGCAACCACCCCATATGCAACGCTTCAGGGGGATGCATCGTCGACCCACGCATTCCTTGGCTTGATGAGAACCCTCGCATCTTCACGTCTGTCCAAGAATTCCTCCAGGAGGTGTGGATTGGCCTCGATCTCCCTAGAAACCGCGAAACCCTTCGTCCCATGCTGCAGCCACTCATCGAGCGTGATGATGTCCCAATTGTCTTCTGCCACGGTGACATTCTGCCGAAGAACGTCATTCTGCCGAAGAACGTCATTCTCCCAGGAGGGTTGAAGAAGTGGCGGTGTGGGTATACTACAGCATGCCTAATCGATTGGGAATATGCCGGCTGGATGCCACTGCCTTGGGACGCCTTGAAGGCGACGTGGATGACGTTCGATCTCCAGGATGAATGGCTCACGATGATGAAGTTGGTGTTCCCGGAGTCGCGCCGCGAGCTGGAGGCGGACTGGGAGTGGCGCTCACGATCCAAAATCCCGATTTTATAGGTTCTTTTCTCGTACGCAACGAGGTGATCATGAGGCCTCGGTTGTGGCATGCTGGCAACTGTTGATATCGTCTTTGCTGGATCGGTGTTCAGCATGGACTTGCGGACTAGTAACTCTCCGTTCCAAGTTGACTAGTCTTCTGTCTGACCGGTTCGCATGTGTTATTCTAAGACAGCCTGTATGCTAAGAACGGCTCACAAGATCAATATAACTCTCGTTTTCTACAGCATTTGACCGTGGCGACGGCTGCTCGCTGGCAAGCGTGCTGTGGATCTTGATTCCTCATGGTGGCAGTACATGGCGACTAAGACGCGCCAGAATAGTTATATGTCTTAGCCTGATTCCTCCGGTTTGAAACCCTGAATTGAATTTGCCCGGACAACACGTACAATATCCGAAATACAATGTGGTGGATGAATGGAATGAGTAGAGAACTCGGTCGAACTGCATTGAGGCCAACGTGATGGCGCTCACTGATTCTTCATGAGCGGCGAGATTTGCGCGCGACCAGGGTAGTACATCGTGGGGATTGTTCTAGATTACAACAACCGTGTGAGCATGTAGCCATCCTATGAGACGTCGCAACGGAAATGACTCACGGAATCGGGATAACCGTCGTGCTCCCGAACCCAGCCGTCAAATCGCCGCTCATCGTCGTTGGGGTGGAATAACCCGCAGGCTGAGTATACGAGGTCGTCTGCTCTGCGTAGCTCGTGTAGTCCGTGCCGGACTTGAGGCACGCCCCATCGCCGAATGCCGACTCGCACTTCATCGTCGCCTCGTCTGTGAGCGACCACATGTACACGTCCTCCAGGTAGATGTCATAGCATGGGTTTTCATCCGCACACAGAATTTGGATAGGCGAGCGCTCGACGCCGTCTGCGACATTGCCGTCCCAATTCTACAAAGCATGAAGACCCAGGAATGACAACGGCCGGTGAGTACCTACACACCTTGAAAGTGATATTCTTCAGTAACACACCGTCACCTGCCAGGGTCGATATGGATGCCCAATACTCATTGACATCGAGGCCGTACGCGGTATCACGCGAGAGAAAGTTTTCAAACACGACGTTCTGCACCGTGCCCGACCCGCCATTGCCTTTGATCATGTATGCCTGGTTGCCACCAACCGTGTAAACATATCTGTATACTGATTGCATGAGTCGGAGAAGCTGACGGCTGAATGCACGATACTCGCCTGTACAGAATGCTGTAGATATCGGTGTCCACGGCGAGACTACCCATCGCGCTTCCGCCAGATTGGTTGCACCAAACTAGATTACATCATCTCCGGAACCGCTTCAGTGATCCAGCGGTGGCAGCACTTACTTTGCTCCACGAGGATGTTCGACGCGGGCGACTGGAATGATTGAGTGCCGCTATCAGCATGACGATGCATCGAGATCAAGAAAGGATCCCGCAACGAACCTTGACCGTCACGCACTCGTCACGGTTCGTTACCTCAACGTCGTGTATCCAGTAGTTGTCTCCCCAAACGTCGACACCATCCGAGCCGCCGATGTCCGCGCCTCTGCATTTCGTAATGGAGCGCTAACTGGAGCAATGCGAAGATCGGTGCCACGAACCTGATTGCAAGGTTGTAAACTTCGCCGTTAGACCCGTCCTGGATGACAAGGTGGAACTCTGGCGCTGAATCATCGAAGCAATCAGCATGACGCAGGCGGGGGAGCATTGTCATTGAGCGCCTTGCTTACAATCCACGAGAATTAGATCGTGCAGAGACCAGTCGGTCGAGGTGACCATCCGGATCAGACGAGGTCTACGGCGCTGTCAGCTACGACGCATTGACGTACGAGACGAAGGTGTACCCGTCATTCCGGCACTCATACCCGTATCCCTGGATACCTCCTGCAGAGTTGGCAGAGTAGAACTCAAAGTCTTCTGCATTCTCAACTGCGATCATATTGCCCGTAGTAGTCGCTAGTGGTACCCGAGCAGCGATTTAACAAATTGCATGGAGAGGTCAAATGGGAAAAAAGTAGAATACGTACAGGTCCGATATATCAGCCCGTCGAGCCTGAAAGCCCATTTGGTGCCTCCGCTGAGCGTGACCCACGTCTGCATGTCGTAGTCACCTGTGATACAACGCAGCACATCAACACACACGTCCGCGGTGGGTCGATCCAAGCGACATACCTTCAGGGACATACAGCGTTGAAGCGCTCGAGTTCGTCAATACGCAGTCCTGCACAGTCGAGCCACAATCAATCCGTCTCCCCGTTCCAGCACTCAAAGCAGGTACGCACGTCAAACGCCGCCTGGATCGCTGGCCCAATGTCGCTCGAGCCGATCTCGCCGCCATAATCCAGGACGTTGCACAGGTTCAACTTCTCGCTGAGCGGCGTCGTCGGGCCCACAGTGCCCGACAGCTGCGCCAGCGCATATGGGAGGAGAGAGAGGAGTGCAGCGAGGGCTTTCATCCTGGAGCGCAGTGCGGGCGGGCGAATTGTTGGGCTTCAACCGCACTTGCAAAGAGGCTCTTTTATCATCATAATTCAGAGGGTGCCGGCGGACCGTTCTGTGCAGGGCTGCAGAGACAACTAGTTGCTCACGATGACCGTGGGTGCACTACTGAGACTTTCGGTGCCGAGCTTGATCACAGAGCACAACCGACTGCATAGTTTAAAGTGACGGTCCGATGATGTTGCCATGTGGACACGCACTCACTCCGCCTGCAAAGTGAGCCACAAGGGTAGCATCTTCTGGGGCTTCTTTCGATCAGGAGAACGAGAAGTTTGAGGGATTAACCGACACCTCCAGGCGCGGCACATATTGTGATGGGAAAGAGAATGCAGGGCGGATGGAGACATCATGGAAACTCCATGATGTTACCTGTTCATGTGCGCGCGAGCGCCGGGCCGTTCTATCACAGAAACGCTGGTTGATCAGGCGACGAGGCGCATTCTTCACTGTCCGTTGCGATCGCGTATGTGCTGATGTAGTTAAGTAACGGTTGCATTCGCGAACAACAGAGCAACCGCAGCAATGGTTCTGGCATAATTCATGTAGCAAGCCTGTCCTTAACGGCCGAAAGCTCGCAGTGACAATCTACGCATACAAGACAAACTTTCAGTATATGCAATGTCAAAGCATGACACATGATAGCGCTCACCGACCCTACTCAAAGCGAGACGCACAGCCAGCGACACGCATCAGATTCCATACATACTCTTCGCATTCTCCCTTGCCTCACGCAGTACCTTCACAACATCCCAAGAGGGCTCTTCGCCCTCAATGGCCTCGTTCGCTACCGCAGCAACAAACTCCGCCGTCCACGGGATCATCGCGGAATGCGAAAGCGGCAACCGGCCCTTGACGTCTTTGAGTGATGTGTATATGTTGGATGGGACCATGAATGGTGCATCCGTCTCGAGCAGGATCCGCATATGCCCTCCCGGCGTTGAAGCCATCTGTCGAATTACCGCGGAGGTGTTAAGATTCGTGAAGTATGTAATAACACCTACAGAATGTGTCAGAGAATAGACGAGCGATGAGTGGCCCGGATAGAGTGCACTGACCGGTCACGCCGATAAACAGGTTTGGGAAGTATTCCAGCATTCGTGCGGCCCATTCTGCTGAGTCCGTGTAGCAATGAATGTGGATCTGCGTCGCATGAGCCCATATGCATATGGCCCGCTGTACTCATGAGATGAATATCGTAGCTCACCTTGTGTTCCCGCGGAACATGCTCCTTCAAGATGCGCTCTGTGTCCTCCTCCGCCTCGCGCGTGTGGATCGTGAGTGGCTTGCCGAGTTGCACAGCGAGTTGAAGCTGACGTGTGAAGACGTTGCACTGCACGTCCCGTGGCGAGTTGTCGTAGTGGTAATCCAGGCCGATTTCTCCCCAGCCAACGCAACGGGGATGCGCCATCGCATTAAGTCTGCCGCGGAGCAGGAAGTGAGTGGGAATGAGGAGCTGGCGGTCGTTAAACACACCAACATGTTGCTCTCTACCTCGTCTGTATACGCTCCAGCTTCATGTCTGAGAGGAAGTGAAGATCAGGCGATGCGATGGACGGCGATCAGCCTCTGGCTTACGGGTGAATGCCTAACAGCTTTGATCACTTCCAAAACAGATGAGAGATGTTGGCCTACTTACCCATCACAAACCAGTACTCTAGTCCACCCCACAACATTTCTATGCTCTCCTTCGTCAAAGCCGAGTCTGCAATCGATCTCCAGGACAGCTGAATGGATGCGTCACACCACACATCCACGATCGCCTCGACATTGCGATCCTGATACAGTCCTCGGACAAAGTCGTGTACCGTCTCGTACTTCCCGTCCTTATACTTGCCACGGTAGGCATGGAATGTGGACACAAGATGGGTATGCGTGTCGACGATAGGTGCGATTTGCTCGTCGAGCGCAGTCTCGGCAGTCAGGGCGGGATGTCGCGGCAGGCGCAGAAGTTCTTCCTTGGGAGCAGACTTCTTGTTCTTTCCCATGTATCTTGCTCGCGACGAGTAGCGTGCAAGAGAACGGCTCGCAGGGGAGACCAGGCTAATTGATAAGAGGTGAGACGATATTTTAACGCTGTACATACACTGTCAGGTTGACGACACAAGCGAATATTGCAAATCAAGGCATTCAAACGGAGGAATCTCTAGGAATCTGCTTATGGCAACAATACAATTCTACAACTACGCAAGCTGTCTGACTCGTGGGCGATGCCGTCCTCGCGATGGGCAGTGCAACGCCTCCCGGGTTTCATACAGTTTGTCGCTCTCTTAATTCCTCGCTGTCTGTCGACTTGCGCTCACTGTCATCATGCCGCCCACCGTTCCATGGCTCCCATCTTCGTCCGGACGCGGCCTGCTCACACGCACCCTCCAACTGCGCAACGATGCACAGGCCGACTTCGCTGCTGTCAAGTCGCAATGGGCGAACCCAAATGACATCCTCAGTATCCTTACCATCATCGGTGGGGACATCGTCAAGACTGCCCTCGCATCCCTCGCCGCGCCCACCCCGCTCTTTGGCTTTCTTCCTCTCACTCCCGTGGCTTTCTCGTTTGGCTGGGTAGGCTACGCCTTCTCCGCAATTCTCTCGTCCATCGGCGATGGCAAGCTAATGCCTGCCCCCGACTGTTCCGCGATACTTGTCAATGCGCGCTCGGGGTACAGTCGCCCCATCAACTCCTTCATCCTCTCCCGGCTTGTGCGTGACTACGAGTGTCCCAATAAGCGCGGGCTCACCGTCGCCTTCTTCCGCACCTCGCCCTCGCGGCCCGCCGGCATGCCGGCGCGCGACTGGGTGTACTGGAGCGGCCTCGAAATGATGGTGTGCCAGATCGGTATCGCATGCATCCCTGGCGCGCTCTCCGGGAACTGGCTCATCCTCATCCTCACCGTTGGTGGGACGCTCCTCGCGCTCCTCCAGGGCGCACTCCCGCAGTGGCGCCAGGAGAAGTGGTCCGCGCGCAAGGTCGCGCCTGGCAAGCAGGACGTCGTGTGTCTTACACGCGGGAACGGCTCGGTCAGTGTGCTCGTGATCGTGAGCGACGGCTGCGGATACAAGCTCGAGGACCTCGCGGCTGCCCGCGAGGTGCATTCGCGCGTGACGGCACCCGCGACGTTCGTGCTCGCTGCGCTGTGGATCGTGCACCTCATCACGACGGAGAGCCTCAATTCGAGTGCGTGGTATTCGCTTGCGGTTGGCGGGCTGGGCATGCTCCAGAATGTGATCGCAGCGGGCGCACGGCGGGAGGCGGGCGCACTGGGATTCCACTTGGAGAAGGGACCTGTGGTACATGAGAAGAACGTTTTCGGGACGTTGAAAAAGGTGGAGGAGATGGCTGATGACAAGGAGTCCGCTGTGGATATGGGTCGAGGGGTAGGTCTCTCGCTGATTCCGATCTTCTTCCCGGGAGGGCTTAGGGAGGACGAGGAAAAATGGGTGAAGGAGAGGACAAAGATCAACAAAATGCTGGATCATAAAGACAAGGAACGCGCCACGTTCAACGCGGCGAAGGTATCGTCGCCATCGGCCGCGCCAATTCAAGAAATGGCGAAGTCAACCATTGCGAGCGACACGAAGATGAGCCGCTCAATGACCCGAAACGACAGTCCAGGCGAGCTGAAGGACGAGTACTTTTGGGGGCCAGACCGTACTTCGCCAGTAGAGCTACAGTACTCTGAGTACGAGAAGCTGGACAAGAACGGCACGTCTGCGACAGCGACTGAAGTTGGTCGCGCGTCATCCTCGGACACCTCCACTCAGCCATGCCACTGAGGCCGCCTTGACACCTTGCCGGCAAGATGAGACTGCTATCGAGCAGGCAACTGCTCTGCGGGGTCCGCTGAGCCCTTTTGATCAGGTCGGATCTGGTGGCGAAAGCTTATTTGCCTTTAGTACGTTTGCATGACCACAGCATTGTCATCGTTACGCGAGGTAACGGTTGACGTAGGCTATGATCTTTGACGATGTTTGATGACATGTATTTTATTTCTGATGACATGGCCGTGACGAATATACTTGAGAGAGTAACACTGCAGACATGAAGCAATTTGCGCATGTGACAAATGCTTACCAAATGTCGACAGGTTTTTTGCCTTTGTGATCTCAATTTGCTACGATTCCTTCCCACATTCCATATTAAGTATTTGCATAATAATATGTTAGAGGCAGAAATTAAAAATTATATATTTTAAGAAATGACACCATTTTCAAACTCACCAATACATTTAGAATTTGAGCACTGTTGAATGTAATCATACATTTTGAATTTCAAACTATGACATGTATAAAATATCCAGTAGCAGATGAAGGTGTAATTACGGTGAATGACTTTCATTCTAGTAATCTTGGCTAGAATGACTTCAGTAGGAAAGTAGAATGTAGGCATAATCACACCTTCATCTGCTACTGGATATTTTATATGTGTCATAGTTTGAAATTCAAAAATGTATAATTACATTCAACAGCACTCAAATTCTAAATGTATTTGGTGAGTTTGAAAATGGTGTCATTTCTTAAATATATGATATTCAATTTCTGCCTCCAACATATTATATGCAAATACTTAATACAGAATGTGGGAAGGAACCGTAGCAAATTGAGATCACAAAGGCAAAAAACCTGTCGACATTTGCTAAGCATTTGCCACATGTGCAAATCGCTTCATGTCTGCGGTGTAAGCAAAGAGCATATATGTGGATGGGAGGAATGCATCGTTGACGAGCATTGCGATTTGGAGTGTATTATACTCGATACCTAAATGCATGATCAATCCAAGACAACTTAAAACACAGCAATGAGTGGACAATATTTGTGACTCCCAAGAACCAATCATGCTGGCAAGTGGGGCACACAACGCCGAATGTGGGAATAGTACTGCCATGTCGATTCTCCCGGTTTTCCGACAGGGTTTTTCTAAGCGGTACGCGATCACGTGACGGAAAGGACGCGCCACTGTGGCGCCACCATCGCGTTTTGGCCTCCTGCCGACAGCAAAATCTGTCACACGGACTCCGTATCAATCATTATATCTATCAAATGTGTTGGGAAATTATATATTTACCCATCAATGATAGTGAAGGCCCGCGTCGGCACATGCGCATGATCACAAGTCAAGCCATGCTATGTACGTTGGAAGCAGAACCTGGCGGCACTTCGATGTTCTCCCTTGAGGGTCTTCCCTGCCGCCTTTCTCCACGTTCAAAAGTTGTGGCAACCAATTTATTTTCAGCTAATTCATATTGTGCGAGCCAACGCCTACGTGATATACAAGACAGTAACATGCATTCAAATTGCGGTATACTTCGCCCGCGTAAATCGCTTACACAAATTCGATACATGTTTCACCTCATATTGGGTTCTTTGATGTTTAACTTAGACCTCTTGGCTGGTACCTTTGAATCAGACGATTTGTCGCTGGCGCGACGAAGTCGAAGATCGAACTCGGTGCCACCTAAACGTGACCGTCACAGTACTGAAATGGCAGGTGAGTTGGCTGGACAAAGTGGCTGACAGTATCTTGCACTCTGCACTCTGCCAGCCGCCTTCGAGTCTGATAAAAATGCATTCTCGACATGTCAGCCATCTCATCTCTCTTTCCCTCCTTCTACCATCAAGTTGACGCACTCCTCAAGACCCATCCCCACACTCCTTAACTCACACTCCTTCAACGTCAAGATGCGCTTCTCACATCCCATCGCCCTCTTCTTCTCTGTTGTTGCCGGAACCTCCATCGTCGGTGCTGAGATCATAAGCCCCACGCGCACTCTATCTACCCTTCATGGAGCTCGCAATGACCAAGGACGTTCCATGCTCAATCCTGTCAACCTCGACGTCAAGCCCGTCGCGATGGCTGACCGCGTGCCCATGACCAATGCTCAGCGCATCGCGCGCGGCCTAGGGCCCAACAGACCACGCTTTCGCTCGTGTACGTGCTAACGGATTCCATTGTCTTCACATTATGTCTTATCCTATGCTTTAGCGGCACGCTTGGCTCCTCGTGCCTCATCCCTGCCGGACCCGAACCCGAACCGGTGCACGACCGTCGCAGGCCACATTCGCGTTACTGGAACTGGCATCGAAACCAACTCCTTTGTCTCGCGCAACCCCAATCCGTTCGGCGAGTACGGCATTACTGAGGGCACTGGAGACGCGCTCCTCGTCCAGTATATTGACTGCATGGTCGCCATGGGTTCACTCGATCTCGTCACACTCGTGAGTGCTCATGCATGAATCTCAGTGTCACAATTATGTATTTATGTGCGCGTAGAACGGTATTGCGGACTTCACATACCTTGGTGGCATAACCGGCTACGCGAGCTCATCGGGTGATCTTGCGAGAGGGTCCGACAACTACGTATATCTCGGCGGGACGACTCAGAGTACGTCTGTTGTTGTCAATATGGGAATGACACTGAATGCTCTTTTGGCAGTCGCTCCAAACGCACGCCCCGCTTCTGGAGCCAACTCTTTCACGTTCACGACCGGCGAACACGAGGACATCGAGAGTGCCATCTGGCGCATCAACGCTTCCACGGGCGCAATCACGGCGCACTGGGTGAACCCGGATGGCAGCCTTCCGACCACGACAATCGCATATTATGCTCCGGAGAACTTCCTCCTGCTCACCGGCGACGACGCGGCATTCGCTCGCACTTACGGGACGACTCCTGTTGTGGTACGTTCACCGTGCTACTTGCTTCGCGGGCTTCTATTTCTATTCTGACTTTGTGGTGGTTGGTAGACATTGACATTCGTTGAAGCGTGAAGCGTCGCCAAATATTTCAGCTTACCATTCAGCTTACCATATGATGTACTAGATCATAGCGTGTTGGATACGGGTACGCATTGCATGGGTTGTTCAAGAACATCGTGGATCTATCATTGTACTAGTATAACCATCTGTACGAGAACCTTGCACGAAGCTACACCTAATGAGACTTATGATCACTTTCATGTTCGCCGACTTGAGGTACGTCCTAAGAGAAACAGAAGACTGCACATGTCATAGTAGGCATGCCAGGAAATAATGAAAGGTAAAATCAACACGGACGATAGAACTAGAAGGACATTGTGCTCTCTATGGTGCAATAAATATCCATGCAGCTGGGTATAAAGCCCCGTGATGGGGCTTGAACTATCAATGACCTTATCACGCACAACACAGGGAAAAATCTGCGGAGAAAATCTGCGAATGCAGCCGGTGAGATGGAGCATACGAAGGTTGACGTGACTCTCACAAATCGCAAGCAAACCATTCTCTGCCGGTCTTACTCGTCATCCTCCCAATCCGACAGCATCTCATCCTCGACTTCGTCCATCCTCTCTTCCTCGTTCACGTCCTGTTGAGCATTTCCGGCAGTAACAGCATTGTTCGCCATGCTTCGCGGTACAGCAACAATTTCATCATGTCCAATAGACTCTTGAGGGTGAGAGCGATCGCTCTCCAGGGCTTGTTCGGTGCTGTTGAGGATGTTTAATTCGAACGACATGTTTTCTACGTCGTCTTGTGACTGGACACCACGCCGTGACCGGACGAAAGAGGGCGTTTGAGGCTGTTCTCCGCGTGTGGACCGTGCTGCGGCTCGGATGTTGAGGAGGACACGAGAGATCAGAATGGGAGCGAGTCTGTACAATTGTCAGCGTGTCATCGGCAGAGATAATTTCAGGATTGCTTCACGAGTATTCCAACCATCCGATGATATTTGCAGCACTCTGCCATATGGATAGACATGTGCGGCAGAGTGATTAGCACCTTGCAGAAGATATGGCATGGGAGGAGAGAGCATGCACTTACAGAGTTCCCGAAATACAACACGGTCTGTAATAAGTTGAGTAGTAGTAGTGCTCTAAAAGATATGCTTCAGACGTTGAAAATTCTTTCCGATTCCACTCCTCACGTCAGTTGGATTGTGCCTATGAGAATGGCAGACACAAATGCGATGTGAGCTCAGAAGTCCATAGGCAATTTCCGATAGCCATACCATCTCTGAGGAGCAGCGCTGCGAGCGACGGATTCCTCTTAGACAGGAGATCAGCCGCGGCTAGTCTATGTTCAACGTATAGTTTGCGCCAGAGAATTGCGAGCGTCATGATGACGGCGGGTGCACCAGAGACTTCGTTGGCTATGACCACTGCAGCGGGATTGTCAAAGAAATGTGGAGGCAAGCATTGATGAGTTCGAACTCACATCTATTGAGAAACTAATTAGCAAGTACGGATTTATTGGCGATATCGGTGTACACACTTTGTAATGATACCTTGTGCTGAGCGCGAAGTATACAACTCGCTGCATATGGCTGTCCCATTAAATATGACCACAGAATATGATGCTTGGGCGAATTCTTATCACCCATTCATCGTCAGTCAATCAAGAATATGTCCTGACCAGAGGAAGTGTACCAGTGTAGGCATTCAAGACCACATTGAAGACCATTACCAACGCGAGGAAAATCACAGGTCGTCGGTCGCTACCTGTCACGGCGTATACTCGTAACATTGTAACCACTTTGCTACATTGTGAGCTGTAATGAGTTGTCATGAAGCATGCAAGCCTACCGTTTGAGATTACTGTAATGAGATCGAAAACCGCATTCTTCGCCACGAAGTTTGCCATACAACTGCAAGATAACAACAGTCAGACACGAATAAATATAATGACAGAGAACAAAGCACCTCTACAATATCAATGAATTGAACATGTGTCAAATCGAGGTAATATGAAACAGCGTACTGTTACTGTATAAATGTTCATGACGGACCAAACAGAAATGCTAGCATAGACCAGTGCAAGCATCCGATTGGCAAAGAACAACCATGCGGAGAACAACCCCTCGCCCCAGAACAGCTGGACCTCCTGGCCGAATGTTATGACGTGGTCGAACAGTATGAGTGCTGTTTGAAGAAAAGTCGTCATCGATCAGTCAATAATAAGCGAGAAATGTCCAACTGGCCTGCGCCAGCAAGCAGAGCACAGTTTATTGCGAAGCTGTTAATACATCATTCAATGCAGTTCGTCTTGGCCATGTGAAGAGATGCACTTTTCTTCTAATAGACCGATTGCTTCAGATGCTGTGACAGACATGTCTAAGTAAAGCGATTGGAATATGGATTATGATATCGTTGACAGTCGGCCTGTTTATAAGCCATATTCCATCATGATGTACTGTTACATCACCCGTATACCGATATATGGCAAAACCTATTCATCTACCCATGGGTCCGGCAAAGCAGGCAGCGGCTCACAATGAATGACCCGATCATGCATACCTGAACGGACGCGGCAACTGAACAAAATATACAGTTCGGAATGGAGGAATCCCGCATATCACATGAGGGATCGCGAAAAGAAATCAACTTCTTAATCTGTTGCTGGCTGCCGTGACAACTATACCGTCACAGCCTGCCCGCTTCACCGAAGTTGCCAGAACGTTCCCAGAGATATTCAACTGCAGCGACGATCTGACCGTGCATACAGGCTTGCGCAAGAGCGTGGCGGGGATACCTCTCATCCTCTAGTTAGCGCGCAGATCGGTAATATAGAGGGCGAGATCGTTGCTGATGCTGCGTGTAATGATCATGCTGTGTAGTTCGGAACTGCATGACGAATGCGCCATGGAGTGCCACAAGGTCTCAGTAATGGGCGGAGTTGCCGAGGCAAATGAGATGCGGGCAAGATTGCGCTGCGTAGAAGAGAAGCTGCGGCTGTGACGCGCGGGTAGAACGTGTGTATTAAGGGAAATGAGATCGGAGAGAGGTGCGGGACGGCTCAATGAGATGGGTTGACACCTGAGAGCAGTGAGACGTATGGTACAGAGGGGTGAGTCAGCGTGCGGCTGGCAAATGGGGGGACGAACAGCAAGGCATCCAAACAGCCAGCTATCGGAACAGCGACCATGCTGCATAGAAACGTATGCGCTTGGACGATGGGTCAAGGAACCAGCAAAGTGGCGAAGAGGGACAAGCGCGAGGGCCGTGACGGGAGAGAGACAGCCACAGAGTCGACGGAACAAATGCACCGGCGAGTTCTCCAGGAAGACTGGAGAACGATATTTTCTAAATGGGAGTTTGCAAGTGATCTCTCACAGAGACATCGGAAATGCGTTGGACGTATGTGTGATTGAAATGCCAGCAAAAAGGGCCTCAAACCTAATGGTAGAGTAGTACCAGCTCGCACTGTGATAATTGATTGTCACGTCAATGGGCGTCTAGAAGGTTTGTGGTGTGGCGCTGTGGTCAACGTCGCACCAATCTCAGGCTTGTCGCGCGATAAGCATGCTACGACTCCTTCGTCTCCTTCTGCTCGCGACCTTGTGCATCATCAGCTGGCTCAGAGCGGCCCCAGCCGACGCGCTTATACAGCGATTGTGCATCGCAATCTGCGAAAGACAGTGGATCGGCCCATACGAATAACTGGGCAATCCTACTACGCTCGTCGCGATGTTGGTTCAGCCATCGGCTGCGTTGTCTGGACTGCGAAAGCTCACAGAAATCTCATGGCATCGGCAGCACATGGCGAATGCTTCGGGGATGTACGTGCATGCCGCACCCATCAATGACACGCGACTCGGTGACGATGCTGAACGTGCAGGTACCGCACCGTGAAGATTCCAGACTCGAACATCGTCCTGATGTTCGCGGACGATGCGGCATGCAATCCGCGTAACAGTTCCCCGGCTGCGTGTACGCAAATCAGGGCCGGCATCTCGATTTGTATGGAGACAATATCGAGGTGGACTACAAGGGTTACGAGGTGACGGCCGAGGATTTCCTTGGAGTGCTGACGGGTACGTCGCCGCAGTCTTCGTATACTGGCAGGACTGAGTGATCACTTTGAAGAGTATGCTCTGTATAGGTCGTATGGAGCCTCCGTTCCCCGTTCGAAGCACCTGCTCACGGACGATCGATCGAATATCTTCGTTTACATGAGGGGTCGAATTTCTCAAGGCCCAAGACAACGAAGAGATCAGCGCGTTCAACATCGCTGATGCCTTCGACCAGAAGTGACAGAAGATGCGGTACGCCGGTCGTAGCTATGTCAATTCACAAAGCTTACGAGATACCGCTTGTTCTCAGCTACAATGAAATGTTGTTCATGATCGACACTTGTCAGGCCAACAGCATGTCCTCAGACTTCTACCCTTGCGACGGGGTCTTCTGATGTCCATGAGAATTCTTATTTTGTGAGTACCACCATCTGCTCTGAGTGTTCGTTCCATCAATTGTGCCCATTATAGCATCAGAATGATTACGAAACTGGTGTGGCCGTCATCGATTCATCGACAGTTTTACGCATTAATCCTCCATGGAGGGAACCAACAAGAGGGGCCAAGCATCAATGAAAGACCTCGTAGGTCTTCTTTGTAACTTGATTCGCAGAATGCCTGACGGTCTCCTCGCCCGGCGCAGTTCGACACTACAACTTCAAGAAGATCGAATCACACGCGGGCGTGCGCTTGGATCTCTTCAATCGTCTGCTGGAAGAGGCGTTGGTGACGAACTTCTTCGGCGGTTTAGCGCAGGCGGGATTCTTGTCCTCTGCGATTGACGAGCCGGGTTTGGAACGCGATGCCCAACTTACTTTCTCCGTAGAGACAGAGCATGAGTTCGACGTGGACATGCTATTCCTCGGACTTCCAACAGAAGCAGCAAACGGTTCTACTACTAGAGTGCTACCATTAGCTAACTACCCGAACCCGAAAGTCAATCTGGCGGTCATAATCACTCACAATTCGCATCGTACACGGGCCGCAGAGGCCAGAGGACTCAAGATACGGGCACGCATTGCATGGGTTGTTCAAGAACATCGTGGATCTATCATTGTACTAGTATAACCATCTGTACGAGAACCTTGCACGAAGCCACATCTAATGAGACTTATGATCACTTTCATCTTCGCCGACTTGCGGTACATTCTGAGAGAAACAGAAGACTGCACATGTCATAGTAGGCATATCAGGAAATAATGAAGGATAGAATCAACATGGACGATAGAACTAGAAGGACATTGTGCTCTCTATGGTGCTATAGATATCCGTGAAGCTGGGTATAAAGCCCGGTGATGGGGGTTGAACTATCATCAGCCTTATCACGCACAACACAGGTGGAAATGTGCGGAGAAAACCTGCGAGATGCAGCCGGTGAGATGGAGCATACGAAGGCTGACGTGCCACTCACAAATTGCGAGCAAACCATTCTCTCCGCTTACTCGCCATCCTCCCAATCCGACAGCATCTCTTCCTCGACTTCATCGTCCATCGCCTCTCCCTCGTTCACGTCCTGTTGAGCATCGCCGGCAGTAGCAACATCGTTCGCCGTGCTTCGCAGTTCAGCAACAATTTCGCCATGTTCAATAGACTCTTGCGGGTGAGAGCGATCGCCCTCCGGGGCTTGTTCGGTGCTGTTGAGGATGTTTGATTCGAACGACATGTTTTCGACGTCGTCTTGTGTCTGGACTCCACGCCGCGACCGGACGAAGGAGGGCGTTCGGGATTGTTCTCCGCGTGTGGATCGCGCTGCGGCTCGGACGTTGAGAAGAACACGAGAGACCAGGATGGGAATGAGTCTGTACAATTGTCAGTGTGTCATTGATAGAGAAAATATAGACGATTGCTTCACGAGTATTCCAAACTTGCGACGACGTTCACAACAGTCTGTCATATGCATCGTCGTGTGCGACAGAGTGATTAGCATCTTGCAGAAGATATGGTGTGGGTGGAAAGAGCATGCACTTACGGAGTTCACGAATGACAATACGGTCAGTAGCAAGTTCAGTAGCAGTATTGCGCTAAATATGATGCTTCAGGCATTGTCAAATTGTTTCCGATTCCATTACGCACGTCAGTTGGATTGTCCCTATGAGAATGGTGGAAACAAATGCTATTTGAGCTCAGAAATCCATAATCGCTGTCCGATACTCATACCGTCTCTGAGGAGCAGCGCTGCGAGCGGCGGATTCCTCGTAGACAGGATATCAGCAGTGGCTGGTCTATGGTCAACATATAGCTTGCGCCAGAGAATTACAAGCGTCATGGTGCTGGCGGCTACAACAAAGACGTCATTGGCTATCATCACTGCAGCGGGATTGTCAAATAAATGTGGAAATAAGCATCGTTGAGTTCGAACTCACATCTATTGAGAAACAGGTCAGCAAGTACGGGTCTATTGGTGATACTGGTTCACACACTTTGCAATGATACCTTGTGCTGAACTTGAAGTATAGGACTCGCTGCATATGGCTTTCCCATTAAATATGACCACAGAATATGATAGTTGGGCGAATTCTTCTCACCCTTTCGTCGTCAGTCAATTAAGAAAATGTCCTGACCAGAGGAAGCGTACCAGTGTAGGCATCTAAGACCACGTTGAGGACCGTTAACAATGCGAGGAGCATAACAGGTCGTCGGTCGCCACCTGTCACGGCGTATACTCGTAACATCGTAACCACTTTGCTACAGTGTGAGCTGTGGTGATTTGTCATGAAGTATGCAGCCTACCCTCTGAGATTATCGCAATGAAATCGAAGACCGCATTGTTCGCCATGACGTTCGCCATACAACTACGAGATAATAACAGTCAGATACGAACAAATATAGCGACAGGGAATAAATCACCTCTACAACATTAATATATCGAAGACGTATCAAATTGAGGTGATATTAAACAGCGTACCTTTACTGTGTAAAAGTTCATGACGGACCAGACAGAAAGGCTAGCATAGACCAGTGCAAGCATCCGATTGGCAAAGAACAACCATGCGGAGAACGATCGCTCGCCCCAGAACAGCTGGACCTCTTGGCCGAATGTTATGACATGGTCGAAGAATATGAGTGCTATTTGAATGGAAATCGTCATTGATCGGTCAGTAATAAGAGGGAAATGCCCGACTGGCCTGCACCAGCAATCAAAGCATAGTTTTCTTCGAAGCTGATAATACATCATTCAGTGCAGCACGTCTTGACTATGTGAAGAGACACACATTACTTCCACTAGAGTGATTGCTTCAGATGCTGCGAGAGACATGTTTAAGCAGAGAGATTGGACTATGGATCATGGAGTGATGGACAGTCGTCCTGTTTATAAGCCCATATTACCGATATACGGCAAAATCTATTCGTCTACCCATGGGTCCGGCAAAGCAGGCAGCGGCTCACAATGAATGATCCGATCATCCGTACCTAAACGGATGCGGCAACTGAGCGAACTACGCAGTTCGGAATGAAGGGATGCCGCATCTCACATGAGGGATCGCGGAAAGAAACCAAATTCTTAATCTGTTGTTGGCTGCCGTGACAACTATACCCTCACAGCCCGCCCGTTTCGCCGACACTGCCAGAACATTCCTAGAGATATCCACTCGAAGCGACGATCCGACCGCACAGACAGGGTTGCGCAAGAGCGTGCGGGACATACACCCTAATCCTATAGTTAGCGCGCAGATCGGTGATGTAGAGGCCGAGATCACTGCCGTTGCTGTGGCTAGTCTAATGCGCCGTGGCGCGCCACAGCGCAGTCTCAGTGATGGATTTGGCATCCGGCGGAGCTGCCGAGGCAGATGAGATGCGGGCGAAATTGCACTGCGTAGAAGAGAAGCTGCAACAGTGACGCGCACCGGTAGACGTGTGCATGAAGGGAAATGAGATGAGTCGGAGAGAGATGTGATCGGACAGTGGCTCAGTTGACATGGGTTTGCACCTGAGAGCAGTGAGAGGAGTACAGGGGGGCAATTCAGCGTGCGGCTGGCAAATAGGACACTAACAGCTAGGCATCCATACAACCAGCTACTGGAACGGCCACCATGCTGCGTAGAAACTTGTACGCTTGCACGATGGGCCAAGGGACCAGCAAAGAGGGGCAAGCGCAGGCAAGCGCCCATAGACCTCAGTGTAGACTGTGAGAGGCGCTCAACAACCGCGCAACAAAGCCTCCTCGCGATCGAGGGATTGAACACAGAGATAAGCTGCGTACACGTAAAGATGAGCATATGATATCTTCTTGTTCGGACTGGAACTCTTCTGACGACCAATGTTTCAAAATAACCCAGAGGAGTTACCGGCTGTCCAGCAAAAGGAATAGTCGTCAAGTCTGTCAAATTAATTTCTCTCTGCTGAACCATCTCTACAAGAAGCACATCCATCAGCCGACAACATGCGTATCCAACGTTCTCATTGACAGCGTTGTACTTGCACAACAGCATGCGCAGAGTCATATGGGCGAGCTCCATCTCACGAAAGGTCCACATATTCACTCGCTACCTTGTTATCGTGCTCCCGGGAAGAATAGCAACTGTGTTCTATCACGCAAGCTTCATGTACGACATGGTCTTAACGGTATGACTCGCGCGGCCGCTGCCACTTCAAGCATGCTCCGCTCCTGCACGCCGACTCACATTTGTAGACCGTTTCTTTCGGAAGAGATCATACCACATCAGGACACTCAGTCTGCTTTTTTTGGTTTGTCATAAACCGCTGCAGCACGTCCTCAAAGCACCTTCTCAACCATCCCCAGACCCTCCTCCTCGAGTAGCTTGCGAATGGGGTCGCAAATCTCCTTCGTGTACGGCGCGTGCACACCGGGCTTGCTGAGCACACCGTCGAGCACGAGCTGCACAGCAATACCACAAGGGACGCCGACGGTCGTCGCCATCGCCGAATCGCCGAATGGTACACCATACGCCTCCAACGTAGAGGTGATCGTGTCCTAAAGCATATTGTCAGCTGTCCGTGTGTTTCAGCAGATTGATATGGGGACAAACCTGCTTGCCATCCGCCCACTCGACGAAGAACTTGTGCTGGAGGATGACGAGGTCCCGCTCTCCCTCCTCGTATTTCATTAGCTTCTCAAGCTGAGCGCAGAGGGTGTCGAGCAGGTTGGCATCACGCGGCTGAACCTTTTCTGACGAGAAAAGTCCAATCCACTTCAGGCCCGAGATGATGCGGTTACTCTCGGACTCATCAGGGAACGAGCAGAGCTCCTTAACGCGCTTAATGAGAGTACTATGAGGAAGTCAATGAGCAAAGTGTGTTGGCCAGGATAGAGTATCGGCTCGCACCTTTCACTAGCATCGCTGGCGCGAATAGTCTTCTGCATAACCTCTGCCCACGTCAGACTGTCATTCAGCCACTCCTTCGGGCTCATATCTAGCCAGCCAAGCTGCACGAGTGCCTTCACGAACTCGGGGAAGCCCTGATAGCGCAGCGTGCCGCGGATGACCGTCTCTGCCTCTGGGATGCGATACCACTCTCGGAACGGAAGCGAGTTGCGGTTCGGGTACGCAACGTATGCGTACGCAGGAGTGATAAAGTATGGCTTCGCATGCGCCATCAGGTCCTTGCCGTCGATGTTCACCTGCTGCCCATCCGCGAGGAACGACGCTGAGTTCAGCAGGGCGAGCAGGGCACCGCGTGCGGACCACGAGAACTTGTATCCGAGCGGGTTGCCGCAGCATTCAGGGGCGGGCAGGCCACCACAGTAGGAAAGGAATTTCTTGACCTGCGTGGCACGTTAACAACAAAGCTCGAGCACATTCAGGACGGCTCACCTTGCCGCCCTTGGCGTGCACCTCATCGATCGTCTTGATGGCGTAGAGGTGGTCGATGCCGGGATCAAGGCCGATCTCGTTCATGACGACGATGCCGGCCTTCTTCGCCTCCTCCTCGAGCTCGCGCATCGCTGGGTTGACATAGCTTGTTGTCACGACATGCGTCTTTCCCTTGATGGCAGCCTTTATGACCAACGCGTGATGAATGTACGGGATGAGCGAAATGACGAGGTCATGCTCCGCGACAGCCGGTTCAAGAGCCTCCGGGTTGGTCGCATCCAGAGCGATTGCGGTGGTTCGTGGAAGATCGCCGGCGAGGCTTTGGGCGGTGGCAAGGGTACGGCAAGCTGCGCTGATATGAGAAACCCATCTGGCTTTCAGAGACGATCACGTACCAATGGTAAGGTGGTTGGCAGGATCTCGGACGACATACTCAGCTGCAGGACGGGCGACCAGACCACTACCGAGAAGGAGCACCTTCTTCGCTGGTTTGCCCGTATTCTGCTTGCCCAACTTCGGCAGGATGATCTTCCTCTCCTCCACCAGCGCACGCCCAAACTCGGGAAGGACAAACGCTGCCTTGTGCACCTCGGAGTTGTAGTAGCGCGTGGGGCTCACCTTGCGCACGGGAACCTTGACATTGCGGCCGGCCTCCTTCGAGCACACGAGAAACCCGATTTGGCCAGAAGGGTACGTGGGGATCGTGGTGAATGCGTACTCCGCGACGGGGAACAGCTCGCGCGTAGTCTGGCGCAGTTCATTGATCAGTGGCAGGTGCAGCCAGAGGCACTCAGCCTGGGTCGAGATGTGTCCGCCTGGCGTGAGCGCATTGTAGAGCAGCTGGAAATATGGCTTTTGGAAGAGCGATTCAGCGGGACCGACAGGATCCGAGGAGTCGGTGATGATGACATCGTACGTCGAGGCGTTCTCCTTGAGGAACTTGAAGCCATCGCCGACGAAGACGGTCACGCGTGGGTCGGACAGAAGGGCGGACATGTGAGGGAGATACTGCTTGGAGACGCGAATCACGGCCTGCCCGGATTGTCAGTCCTGCAGACTTCAGATGGATTCGAAGTGCAAGATCCGAGAGGGTTTGTCGTAGATACTCAGTACACACCTCATCGATATCGCAGAGCACGACGTTCTCCACGGTGTTGTGCTTGAGAACCTCACGCACAACGCCCCCGTCCCCACCGCCAACAACAAGCACCTTTTTGGGGTTCGGGTGACTGGCAAGAGGGAGATGGGCGATCATCTCTTGATAGCTGATATACAATTTAGAATCGTTCTCGCAGCAATGCGTCAGTTACACGTACGAGAATTCATCACGCTCAGTGCATTGGATCACACCATCCAAGACGAGAACGTTTCCGTAGGTCTCCGACTCAAATACGAGTACGTCCTGATAGAGAGACTTTTCGACGTGGAGGATTTTCTTGACCTTCAGGGTCATCGCCTGCCCAGGCCATTGTGACGAAATCTCCCGGAACCAGCCATCTACAGCTCATCAACGTAAATGAAACATGCGTATTTTCGATAACTCACCCCTAACAGTGCGATGTGTTAGCGGTGCCATTGGAAACGATGAGCAAGGAGGAGAGACCGAAGTTTTCGAGTCAAAGGAGATAGAAGGAGATCAAGATTCGCGCTGAGATCGCCGATTAGATACTACACGATCACGAGATCGCGACGCGTCCGCGGTCATGGCGTCCGCTAGACTTGCGCTGCGAGAGTCGATGGATGCTCAGGCTGCACATAAATGCACTCTTTGCAGGGCGAATCATGTATATCTTACTGCTGTGTTCCGTAATAATAATCATTGAGTGTTGACAATATTCGGATATATATACGTACCTCTTCACCACTCCCGCCGCCTCACAGTCCCACCGACAACGGGACGCCTGATGCCCGATGTGTTGCTGCAATTACAAAATTAAATTGCGCTGAAAGCATGGCGTTGATCGGTGGCACTTTGAAGTCGCAATAGGTCGCAATATAGATGCTCTGAAAATGAGTTGCTGCCCTTCAAGTGCGTGGGAAGATTTCCCCACCGGCGATGTGACAACGAGTTGTGACACAACGCGCGTACTGTCGCGTCACGTCGCGATCGCCACTTTGTACTTGTCTCCTTACTCGTGCTCAAGACAACCATGATTGACGACAGGCTCCGTTCGCGTCCAGCAGCCTCTCAACACTCTGCGACGCCGCAAGCCCGCAACATTTATTTGGCCCTCACCGTCGAGCACCGTGCGGAGCTCGATTCTATTTGGCGAGCTGATCATCGAGTACCTTCTGTCGAATCCCGTCGTGCATGGGCGGAAGCGCGCAACATCGACCCCGGAAGGGTGCACTCATGGTTCTCAAAGAAGCGGAGCAACGCTATCAAGGATGGATTGACGGTGTCCGAGGGATCGTATGAGCTCCCTGCACGAGGACCTGCGAAGACCCATGAAGGTAAGAAGAAAGCAACGCCGAAGCATGTGGTCGTGAAACGAGAACGATCGTCGTCTCCGGTGCTATCGATTCCTGCTCAGAAAAAACGCAGAGTGATCTCGAGCAGTGCAAAGCAGAAAGCCGCCGCAGTGAAGATAGAACAGACTTCCGACGATCGCATCCTCGACCGTACTCGCTACGCGCCTGTACATGTCCGTCATACGCGCGCGCACGACAAGAACCCCCATCCATACTGTCTCACCTGCTCTGGGTTCGAGTTTGCTGACTCTATGCGCTGTTCGCCCTCTGTATTACCGTCGTCTCCTCCGAATTCTCTGCCTAGCTCTCCCGCTTTTCCAGAACTCTCGACGTCCTCTGACCCGCCCTCTTCGGACTTTGACTGCCTGCTCACGCCTATCGGATCTGAAGACGAAGTTCTCGAGATAGTAGCATCGTCCCCTCAGCGTACTCAAGATGATCCCTCACACATATATGCGGCAAATATACAATCCAGTGCTGACTTCCTGAACAAGGTCGTCGAAAAAGACGCATATATGCCGCCCGCAGGGACAAAATTCAAGTCTAAAAATCAATCTGCGCCTTCCGAGCATACATACAGTGAATCTTTGGATGATTCGGCTGACTCTGTAGCTGCCGTCCTTCCCCCGCGCCAGAAGCGCAAACGCATAACATTTGACAATATCAAGCCCTTCCGCGCTGACCCCTTCTGCTCTGCTGTGTCTGGACCCTCTCATGCTCCGTATTCTGCGTCTATCATATCTGCTGGTGTCGTCGCTCATGACTCTTCCAACTCTAAGCCTGCTCTTCCGGCAACTTCCGCTTCATATTCTTCCTCAATCAAAATGAGCAACACCCCATCCCATGCTCAGCTCGAGTCATCGCAATTGGACGCTATTTGTAGTTCTGCTCTGTCCAATGAGAGCACTTCACACAGGTCTGCGTCGTCGTCTGCTACTGGGCCGCCACGGCACGCAGTCTCCTCTGCATTACAGAATGACTTAGGTACGCATATACGTTGCATTGTGTGATCGCTGACGACCGTGCCTGCATCAGAACCAACTGCTCAGGAAGGCTCGAGCACTGGCAGAAATCAAGAGAGATTCTCGCAGATCCCTGTAATTAATCACGTCCCAAGCCCATCCTCAACCAGTGAACGCCCAATTGTGCATAGTCAGCACGTGGAAGCTTCTCCTTCGCCTGCGCATGCTCACCATACTGCCGATTGCAACGTCCACTTTGCTTCTGCTTCCGGAATGGCCCGTCGCTCTCCTGTTGGTGCCTCTCCTAATAGTGCTCTGTCGCGCAACGAATGTCCGCCTAGTGTTTTGACGCAGCTCCTGCCTAGTGCGCTTTCTCGTGTTGATTCTACTGCTACCCTTCCTCTGCGTAGTGTCGCTTCTGCTTCCGCTTGTATCACTGAATCCCGTCCTGCTGCAAACCACACCAGTTTCGCACCAATTGCTAGAGATGATGCGTCTGCACGGTCTATTGCTGATAACTCGAATCTGATCGCTGGCGTTGTACCAATGGAGCCTGCAAAAGTGCACAAGGTTAGTTCGACTTCGACAACGATTGGCGCCGCAACTTCACCGATCGTACCTATCCTTCTCTCTGCATCTTCTTCAACCCGCAAGTCTGCATTTGTGTCTCCAGCTCGCGGGCCTTCGGTCCCTACTCGTACCATATACAACCAGGATGCTGACCCACTGCTGAGCAAGGACGGCATTTATGTTAGTAACTTCCTTGCAACACATCTATACTTGCTGACTGATTTTGCGTGCGATGCAGGCCGCTGGAAAAGCGAACGCGACAGATCTGCACCGCCGTCATCTGCCGGACAAGACTGTTAATATGGTGAAGCAGGAAGAAGAGGAGCCTATATTGCTTTTGACCAGACAAGAAGAGGAGGAGTCGAGCGCTGGCGACGACAACAGTACGCCATTCCCCGTGCTACGTGTTGTCGAGGGCGCTGCTGAACATCTGTGTCACTACGAATGATTTGACGCATCACAGTACCGCTGTACACGGTGACTCTCCGTAAAAAGCAGCATATGAAGGCAGTGAAGACGCAGAAAGGCAAGAAGAAGGCGGCCACTATCAAGGTGAAACAAGAAGCTCTCGACGAGGCGATGAAGGCAAAAGTGCAGTCGGAGCAAGCTATCAAGGTCGCAGGTCGTAAACCGAAACGGCCTGCGCAGGATGCACAGCCGCAGGGTAGATATTCATTTCATGTCAAGCTTTGGCTTTCTATTCTTCGTCAAAGACTTTTATTGTTCGCTAGATACGCTGTCCGGCCTAATGGAAACAGTACTTGATGCCGTCCGCGAAGGCGCGAAGGACATTGCGAACACCGGAAAGAAGGAAGCGACGACGAGAGTGGATGAGCGCAAAGCTGCAAAGTCAAGGGCCTCTGGATTGGTGAAAGAAGGAGAACGAAATAGAGAGAAGACTGCTGGTGCGTTCCGCGTTTCTTATCGGTCGGCCAGCGGTATCATTGTGCTCGCACGCACATACGAGCAGGTGCTGAGAAGCAGATGGTGCCGACAACTGCGGGAAAAGGACCGCCGGCATCAAAGGGCAAGGAAAAGAAAACCGCTAAAACATCTGCAGCCCCACGCGTGAAGACCAAGAGAGCTGCACCTGTGACTGATGCATCCTTGCTGAATGGTATGCCCAATGCTCATATTACTTCAAGACATTCACCAGACTTCTTCGAATGCTGTAGTTCGAATACCGCGTCTGAAATGTCCTCGGTCTTTCAAGAAACTTCTGCCCTCTCAAGTGCACCCACCTCGTCCATTTAAGTATTCCCCGGAGTCGCTCAAAGTCTTCAACAACATTGTGTGGGAAGAAGATGAGTTCGAGACGATGGAGCTAAGCGCTATATGCCAATTGGCTGTAGAGGCAAACGACGAAGATCCGCGCACAGATGTGCTAGGTCAATCGTCCTTACTGGTTATATATCCTTTGCTTACGATGGCGTCCGTCTAGCGCCGTTCTCTCCGTTCACACCGCCGTCCGTGGACTGGAAGGATGACCTGCACGTCCACCTATACGCAGACGTCGGCTTACCGGTCTACTTGCTAAAGGCATTGGGACTGTCTGAGGGGATCGCGCAAGAGTGGATTGATGCGGCAGAAGAGGTCAATCGCGAAGTCGGACTTGTAGCTTAGCATAACCGTCATGTGGTGAAGAACAGGATATCTGCCACTCTGCGCGTGAGACAGGGTCACCTTGCCATCGCGTTAGATCCGGATAATAAAACGGTTCCGTATGAGCTGTGTGGTAGTCTCAGGTTCATGCCCTTGAGTTCTTGTGCCCTCGCGATCGTACAAGTCCTACAGGTCCCGTTACCTTACATATATATCCTTCCAGCGAACCTTGTCCTTGTAGGCTTAGCCATATCGTATTCGAATTCGCTCGTCGCAGACGCGACTATAGTCTGCGATCCTACGTATACTTTGACAAACAACTACGTGATGCACGTAATAGAACGTCTGCCAGGAATCAAGAAAACTTGATCAATCTACAGGTGTGTCGGAACACATCCTCATGCCAGATAAGCATCAGCACCTAGATGACTGTTGCATCGCGATGCCAGATGGTAATGATCTCCCCTCAATCCTGCCACGCTATCGGTCCTCCGTGACCTATCTACATGTACGACCGGCAAGCCAAGGCGAACCTTCATATAGGTGTGACGCCGGTCGCGTAACCGGCGTGTCAGGCAAATAGCGTGAGAGATCATGGCTGGCGAGCTGCACATTCTGTTGGTCAACGATGACTGCGATCGAGAATTACAAGCTTCCGTGGCGATATGGATCAGATCTCGCAGGCTCAAGTCCGTGCGTCAAGGTAGGGACACTGGAAAAACTTGCGGATAACACAGGCTGGTATTGACAAGCCCAGTGGTAGAACCTGATGATTCCGCCACGCTGAGCATTAGTAAAGGTCAAACAAGCGCTAAAGGATAGTTACAAAAATAGAGTATGAAAACAAATACAGTTTGCAAGCACCACGAGCAAAAACGAGCACGTAGCTCGCTGAAAGCGCGGATAAGCCCTGCCGATGAACGCCCGAGGGACGATATGCACTGCACATGATGCGTGAGCCGTTGAACTTGAGTTTGAGGCATTGAATATTGATATTGAGGGCTCAGAGTTCTCGATGCTGGCGCGGCGGGTGGCGAGCCGAAATCAAGCAAGCCCTAGATTTCAGCGAACTCTCTGAAGGACGTAAAAGATCCGAATCCTATTAGTGCTGATCATGAGCAGACGGAGGAAAAGAAGAGGAAGGAGTCAAAGGACTAGTAAAAGACGAGTGACGCGTCGTCCCTCCATAAGATGGACGTGAATAGCACGTGCTGTGACATGACGCGTCCTTGGATCACCTATCCTCTAGCGGAGGCGTCGCGAGCGTTGCAGAACGGTCAACGTTCCGGTGCTGAGTATGTGCTACCACGGAGAAGAGAGTTGGACACCGTCATTAAAGACGTGGTACCGCCATGGTAAACCATTTATGGGTGACTTAGGGCCCTGCTGACGTGCCGCATGAGAATTGCTGGAGTACTCTTCCCGTCGGTAAGAGGCTTTTGTAGGGGCCTTTTTAATGGGCCTCTGCAGCATGCCAGCTGGCATAAGTAATTGCAGCCTCATCGCGATGCAGAACCCATGCGGCCTCGATTGAAGCTCGATTCAATGAACTATTACTGGTAGATCTGAGACTGTTTACTCACGACTGGTGTGATTCAGAATTAAATCACCATCCACATGACTCTAATGCACAGGACCCTCTTGTCGACCTTTGTCAGGTCTTGCCTTGCTAAGGATTGCAGCATTCACGACGGCATACGGACTGTCGCTCCATCACAAAAGATATCCCGGCCGCGCAGCGCATCAAGGTACATCTCAGCACTGTGCTCTTCCTCTCCTCCTCCTTTGACGGTCTGCTGGGACGAAGAGAAGACTGCGCACGAGCAGCTCGGTACGCAACATCATCCGCCAAGCAGAAATCAGGCTGTGGTATGGGGGGTCGATCGGTGCACTCACAGATGCCCATAAGGATCCTCATAACTTTCGAGACGCACCACCTTGCTATTCACGAAGTGAGGTCGAGTCCGTGCTATGGTACAATATCTTGCCTTCTAACGTTTGCGCCTATGACAGCCTTACACTGTACAGTGCGTGTCTTGTAATGAACAGGCAGCTGATGTAAAGTGCCACTACTGACGATAGGATGTTAAGTCGGTTAAGGAATCTGCTGTAGGGAAATCAAGCGCGCAAGCGGCTCTCGGCGCGGTGCCCACACCGGGTTCAACAAAACCATACATGTGGGTCCACCATTTCATGGAGGCAATCTCTCGCAGTAAGTGGGGACTGTAATGGTGGGATCCTTCTGCCTATCCTCGACTCCTGTTTATATTGTTGATAACGCGCAGATATCGCATGGCTTTTTTACTGGTCGATGGGCGACTCTGCCTACGGGAAACACCTATCGCCCCGGCCACAAATGCAGAGATTCATGCTTTGGTCGAATCAATCATCAAAAGCTCCGAGGTCCGTCACTGAGGCTAATCCATGGCCATGCACATGAGCTGCTCAGCTATTTCATTGCAGGGCATCAGGTCGTCTTCTATCTCCACAGTGTGCGACTATCTGAGAAAGGAACTACATATTGTTCGCACATTTCTGGAGCTGCCCGGTCTGCAAGCTCCTGGAAAGGAGCTGGAAGATTTGAACGAGTACGTTGCGGAAATGGCGGGTATACATGCATATATGTGCCTCTGATGTTGTAGGGCTCCCGTCCTAGAGCTCTACTATATGCTCAATACGTTGTCGAATCGATTGCCCAAATGAACCTCTTGAAGCAAGCTTTCGCCAGGCGAAGATTGGCATTATCAATAAATGAAGTCACGTCTCTAATCCGCAAAGCCAGGCATGCTATTTCTGTAAGCAAGACATTTCTCTTGCCGCGACCATGTGCCATGGTGAGATGCAACGCTTAGATGTATATGATGGTTCATGTTCTAGGATGCTGTTCGTGAGGATTTCCCTCTTCGGTACCTTGTGGTATGCTTTCACGCACTTTAGTCGTCGATGTATGCAACGGATGTGACCGATTGACTTCTCATACGTAGCCTCGCGTATTGGGCTTGGACGATGTGCAGATTCGTCGAAAGTTGCGTCCACTTGGCGGCGAAGAGCAGGAATATGATATAGAGGAATATCATGCGAGATGTGCGGGAGAAGAAAGGGAAATACTGCTCCGTGTTGGTAGAACGGCGCAGGGCAGACAGGTGTGTACTTGACACCCTCAACTCGATTCTTTCTCGCTGATGGTCAAAACTTCCTGGCAGGATGTCAACTGGCATATCGACTTGCTCAAGGCTCTGGAAGATTCGCAGTGAGTGTATTCAATGAACATTATGACCACAAAAACTTCTGATGCCTTACGCAACCTCAGCGTTTTTAGTTCCGATGCATCTCTGTTGCTTGGTTACAGTCATCATGAGAAGCTATACGCATTATCCTGTATGTGGTCTCAGCCGCTCTCCAAGCATAACTGAAACCCATCTTTTCGCCGTCCACCAGTCCCGTCAGAAGCTCTGCTGAAGAGCGACGTCCGGAGACGGTCGTACGTCGATCGTCTCCTGCTTGCTATTCCTTATGTATGTATATTCACTCCATTCCGACAATGCTGTTGCGCTGACATCTGAGATGTGACACAGACGTTGACAGTTCAGGTAAGCTATTGAAAGCGATACATATCCTTCTGCTTTCCCGATCATTCCGCAGCATTTACAATATTCACATGACCAACAAGGACCTGTGGCTGACCCGGAAATAAGGAGCGACGGGCGCAGTGGAGGCACGACTGTCGATCGTATACACAGTTCTGCTTCACCGCGATATTATACCAGAGTGACCTATACCTCACCAACGTTCGCCCATTACAGATTAATCCCAGTGCCGGGGTCAGGTGCAACAAACGACACGAGTGACCGAGGAAGAAAAACAACTCCACAGCCAGACAAAATTGATCAGCTTCTGCGGGTGAGCCATGTATACGCTTGCACAGATTACGAGACTGAGCTAGAAGGATACACATTACTCTTTCGCTCATAGCTATTACTGTCAGATACCGCATCTACGGCTGACGAGACCTCCAACAGAGTGTCATCCGAAAAGGTGATAGATGCAATGTCATCTCTCGAGACCGCTTTCATGCAGTCGGTGATAGATCATCTTAACAATGTGCGTGAAATTACTCTGTAATCACTTTTTCTTACTCGACGGGTCGCAATGCTGTGGAAGCGTTGATATTTCGGTCTGATGAATGGATTTAATGTGAACATTCAGCTCACGACTGGCTCGCTGCAGATCCTCAGCCGTCTCTCGCCATCCAGTGGTATGCATGCGGTCACGTCTCGTATCTTGCAAAAGTTGTGTGTGCGAATGGAAGCACTCCCGAAGATGCTACATCTCATCGAAGCAGAAATCCACAAGACGAGCGATAAACCGCTCGGCAATGGTGGATTCGCGACTGTCTACCTAGGTCAATATCGTGAACTGGCGGTCGCATTGAAATGCTACTACATTGCTGACAAGACTAGGGCCCAAGCAATATATGAGGCAAGATTTCCATCAAAAGCACCGACACGTAGGAATAACCCGTCTCACATCACGTAGATATTTTGCAAGGAAGCCCTTCAATGGAGACGTTTGCAACATAAGAATATTACGCCATTTCTGGGAGTTACTACCGTCATATCGCCTCTCTGCCTTGTGAGCAAGTGGATGAAGAATGGCACCATAATATCCTCTCTTCAGAACAATCCAGACTTGGACCGCTTGCCATTGGCAAGTGCAATAGAACTGTCGTTTTAGTGCAGCTTGTTGATCTGATTTCATCTGTGTAGCTTGTTGACATCGGAAAGGGTTTAGAATACCTACACTCATTCCAGTTTGTTCACGGGGATTTAAAAGGAGTGCGTGCCGATGTTAACTTTGCGATCGTTGACCTGACTGCTGTGGGTCGGCAGGAGAACATCTTGATCGACGAGCACTCGCACGCTTGTCTATGCGATTTTGGTGTTGCTACCGTAATGTACGATCCTCAAATCATGCAGGCTGTCACCAAAACTCGGCAATCAGATGGCACAACTCGTTGGCAGGCGCCGGAACGTCTTGACCCGGAAGAATTCGGCAACGATCCCGACTACGAACCATTCACAAGTGACATATATTCACTCTCGATGGTGGTATGGGAGGTAAATTGTTCTGCGTAATCCAATCATTGGGGCAAACTCTCCCACTCATGTGGTTACAGATATTCGCCGGTGAAATCCCTTTCGTTGAATTCCAGTATGAGGGGACAGTCATCAACCAGGTACTCAACAAGGGTAAACGACCTTCACGCACGGAGGATATGATAAAGCTGGGACTGACCGATGATATATGGGCCATTGTAGAGGAGGGCTGGCGCACGAACTGGCGTGAACGTCCGCCTCTGAATCGCATTCTGGATGTCTTCACACATGCAGCCACGTCCCGCAGCGTTTTAGCGCATTAGGTGATGCATTGTGTTCGACAATGATGTGTGTCTACAAGCATAGTCATTCAGATATCTGTGCTGCTTCGGCTGCTGTCTGTCACTCTTGGTTCACTCTTGATTTCATTGCAGTACGTGCTGGTATTTAGACTGAATGGAATAAACCTCTTTTTCAGACAAAGTGGAAGCCCAGATTTGAGGCAGAAGCTCAACTGCATACACTCAATGGCTACTATGGAGGCGTTATACCAGCACAGGTGGTCCAGCGAAATCCTGTCGCGAAAATCGAAGGCGGGCAAGTTGAATATAGTACGCGAGATCTCTGAGATAACCCAGTAGTACCAGACAATCAATACTTAGTCTTGTTAACGCAACTGGCGCTTGAAGTCGATTGTACCTATACCACTGGCGCTTGTTCTTGATTTCCATGCTTGAGCTTAAGATTCCGTATCACCTTCGTCGCGCAGAATTATAACTTCATTCACGAGCTGCAATGTTCACGTCGCAGGATCGTCGTTTCCGATCCACTCCCATCGATGGGTATCCTACACAAACGTCCGATCTTCAGGCTTCCACCGAGGATATATTCATCCAGCAGCTTCCCCTGTCTGCTTTTGAGGGCGGAGCGAGGGCATCAGCACAAGGACCGACGCTTCATCGGGACTTGCATCTCCAGCTCTTGCTGCGAAACCTGCTCCAGGGCTTCCCGCAACGATATACCTCTCAAGATGCTAGCCAACCTTGGTTGTTATTCTGGACGCTCCAGGGTTTCAGTGTGCTTGGCGTAGCGTTAGATGATAAAACGAAGAAAAGGTATGTACCGAGACGGTTACCGTGGTTGCGGATGCTTGTAGCCTCTAGCGCGAGTCCTATATCGACTCGTGCACAAGATCGTCCCAACAAGTTCCAAGTTTCAGGGACTCTCTGATAGGTTGCCTTTGGTAGGGCCAGAGAGACCCTTCTTGCTCTCCAACATCCAGATGGCGGATTTTCCGGTGGACCAGGGCAGGCAGCGCATCTACTGCCGACGTATGCCGCCGTCTGTGCCTTAGCCAACGTCGGACAGCCGGGTACGGGGGGCGCTTGGGACGATATCGACCGGTGAGTACGTTTGCAGTTGCATTCACCGCTTCACTGAACGCGCACGAAGCAAGAAGATGTACGAGTTTTTCATGTCTCTGAAGCAGGAGGATGGGTCATTTCTGGTAACTCGCGACGGGGAGGTGGATGTTCGGTACGTCTTATGTGAGGCCTGCCTCGATACGCGCGTTGATTGATATGCCTTTAAACATCTCCTGTGCCCTCACTATTTAGAGGCTTGTACTGCCTCCTCTCTGTTGCTACTCTACTCAATCTTATGACTCCGGAGCTTCTGGCTGGCATCCCCGAGTTCCTTGTTACTTGTCAGACATACGAGGGGGGTTTTGGGAATGCCTCTTTTCCAGAATGGGCTTTTGAAGGGGGTGAGCGTCGCAGTTCTGTTAATGGTGTATCGCACCTGTCGCTTTTTCTCTTCCCCCTTCGTTCGCAGTGCAAGTTGGAAATCCGTGCTTGTAACTGACAACGCTATACACCTTAGGTGACAACGGCGTAAAGTATGATCCTTCGGCACCTCGCCCCGTTCTGGGCGAAGCGCACGGCGGATACACGTTCTGCGCATTGGCATCATGGGTGCTCATCCAGCCTTACATCCATCTATATTATCCTACTCCTTCTGGCTCTCCTCCTCCATCTATCAATCTCCGCGCGCTTCTGCGCTGGCTCACACACATGCAAGGAATACCTATCGAGCTTGGCGGCTTCAAGGGGCGCACGAACAAGCTCGTTGACGGGTGCTACAGCTGGTGGGTTGGCGGCTGCTTCGCACTCGTCGAGGCCCTCTTTGGTCCATCACCAAGCGCAACGTCGGCTTCTTCTGCATCGCAAGAGAAGAAAGACGCCAATACGGCCGCTGGGGAAGATGAGGCGTGGGATGACGTCGACGGTGAGCGGTCTGTGTATCATGTTGTGATTGGACGGGCTGATAGTGGAAATACACGTAATCCGACTGGTTCACGATGCCCATGCCCATCCCTGACATGTGCACGTCAATATTGCGTCTTTATACCTGCATACGACTGACGCCTGTCAGATGCGCTTATGAACCGAGAAGCGCTCCAGGAGTATATTCTGTATGCCGGACAGCATTCTGCAGGAGGGCTGAGAGATAAACCGCCAAAGTAAGCGCTTTGCCATGTCAACTAATGATGCCGATATCCTTTCGGGTGACCACATGCGATATTGGAGGCGAAAGATGCCTCTTCATTCATAATGCGCGTTTACCTTGCATCAGCGCCAATTCGGTTCTGCTGGACTGCCTCAACTGTCCAATTTGGCGTTGGCACCTCGCGTCTGTGCTTCTGCTGTTGTGTTTACTATTTTCGTAGACCGGCGGACTCGTACCATACCCTATACTGTCTCGCAGGCCTCTCAGCGGCGCAACACCGGGTCACACCTGTCGCAAGCAGGAAGAAAGTTCTATTGCAGAACTGGAAAGCAGACGAAGCGAAATCGAGGGACGGTACGTATCCCTTCTCCCAGCTTGCTCTGTATCTGAATAACGTTCTATTTTTCTTCGGTCATGAATTACTTGACATGCGTCGTTTCCACGACCCGTGCCGAACGGGACAACTCTTCTAGGCACTGCAGTGCAGTTGGCGTCTGCCGATGAATTGGCACGATTGGATGAATTGCGGAAGGAATGTTTTGCTAGCGCGCTGGACTGGCTAGAAGACGAGGGCGCAGATATATACATAGGTGGGAATGCAAACCGTTTGGTGAGTCTCTTCCCTCGCCCTCCGGACTTACGCCGCCGAGTATCTGGTGATCAAGGCCAATGCGACGCCCCGTCGTGCCTAGCCACCATGCTTGCGCGCTTTCATTGACAGATCTGACTGTCCCTCTGATGCGTGGAATGTAGAACGCGACACATCCGCTGTTCAACCTCACAGTGACCCATGCTGAGCTCATGATGACACATTTTTATGGGCAAAGCGTGCCGCCGCACAGAGCCAGGTGAGCTGCGGCGGCGTGATGCTGCAATTTTGACCCTAGTAAGTAGCATTCTACTGTGCTTGATCTCATGTCTACACATATTGACTGGCGCCGTCGGCACTGCAAATTCTCAATACACACAGGATCTTACTCCGAGCTCCGGGCTGTGGATTGTTCGTTTGCCGGACACAACTTCGCTATTGAAAAGTCACTACGTCCTGTCATAGTAATGTGATGGTCTCTATGTTACGTGTACGTTCAAATATCAGCTCATCTGACCATCATAATATTCAAAACTTCGGACGTTATCGACGGACGCGGACATTCCTGGCATCTGCGCGCGTCTATGTGATAGATGCGCCGATGTGCAAAGTCGTTGGCACCGATGTTTACCCACCAAAGCTTGGGACAACTGAGTGCATCAGGATTTCTATAATTCAATCGCGGCCCCCGCTGCAGTGTCTCTGAGCGCAGATGGCATTGAATTGGAGTCTCATTGGCTCCCCTGTATCCATTCAAACATCGTCGGCGGAATACAGTCGTGTGAGTGTCGAACTGTCACACGAATGCCCGAGAAAGTGAGCATACATCGCGTCGCTTCCGACCTGCCCGACAGGTCTCTTCACCGGCGTATAGACTCTCGCTTGCGTCCATTCCTGCTGCCAAGGGGCCCGACCGGGAAGCGCTGCCAGCCGGCTATCATGCACACGCGCGCCGCCTCCGCCTCCCCCATCGCAGGAGCCGAAGTAGCTCCAACTAGCCGATACGATCGGTGCCTTCGACAGATCGTATCTCACCATCGAGGCAGCATCGGTTGGACATAAGCATACTTCGCCTATAATTGCGTCTACACGAACGGGGCACATGGGTGAGATAATATAAGTATGGGGTCCAGTATAGTATTGGGAGACATTCAGGTAGGTAGGAGTGTACGCGGACAGTCATGTGTGAGCGAGAACTGGAATTAGAAAATGGGCTTGCTAAGTTGAATAGTGTTCTTTGCTTCCATATGATTGTGGTACGTAACAGATGTGAGCCACAATGGCGACGCCTTGTTCGGTCTTCACCGGTCGCATCGCGCCTGCCAGGTATGTTACAGGTCCGTTTGTGTCGGCCAGAAGTTAGAACGAGGCACTATTGCGGCGAAGGAGACGAAGAGGTGCCGACGGTGCCGACGGGCGAAAAGAAGCTTCATATGGCAGAATAGGAAGGCGGAATACGAGCCAGGGAGACAACGGCGGCGACATCGCGCGCTCAGCGGTCAGCGACAGAAGCCTGCACCGAGCCACAACGAAGCTGCAGCGCCACCACCTCCCTCTGCAGCCGCTCACAGCGCAGCGCCTCCGCGCGGCCCTTCACCACCCACGCCTCCAGCTCACTCAGCATCCCCGCCGCGCGCGCGCGCTCCGCGGCGCGCGCGCGTATGACGAGCGGGAGGACCTTGGCGAGCTCGTTCCAGCGGACCCAGAACTCGCACATGCGCGCGCGGCGCTCGTCGAAGATGCCCGCGTCGTCGAGCGCGACGCCGTAGGCGTCTGGCCAGCGCACGCCGGTGATGAGGGAGCAGTGCGGGGCGAGGAGTTGGCTGAGGAAGAGGGCGGCGGTGTCGATGGAGGTTATGGCGGAGGCGCCGACGAAGAGCTGGGTGAGGGCGGGGAAGGGCGTGATGGGCGATGAGGCTGAGTCCGAGTCGGTGGGTGGGGGGACGGTGGTGTCCATGTAGAGTCCGAGCGTGCGCAGGTTCGGGCAGTGTCGCGCGAAGGGGAGGAGGGCTTGTAGTGTTAGGGCGGGCAGTGTGAACTCGATGACGGGTTCGCAGTGGAGGTGGAGGTGCTCCAGGGCTGGCCAGCTGGTGGCGAACTCGTGCATGTCGTCGTCGGTGAGGTTGAGCGCGTAGTCCCATCTGAACTCGAAGGATGTGAGGCGCCTGCAGGCGAAGAGCGGGCGGAAGGTGGAGATGTCCGGCCGTTCGTGGAGTGGAGGGCCGGGGACGGTCAGTGCGCTGTCTGGGCAGATCATAAAGTCGACGTGCAGCTCCGTGAGCGCAGGACAGCGGTGTTTGACTGTGGTGAAGAACTCTCTGATTATGCTTGGCTCTACGATGGTCAGGACGTGGACGTATAGTGAGAATATCTGAGTGGGGAAGAATGGGTCTTGGAGAAAGCGCGTGGCGTCTTGCAGAGTTGAACTGAAGGACAGTCGCTGGATAATAGGAAACGCACCCGGACGCAGGACAGGAGAGAAAGCCATGACGTCTGTGCGATCGCCGTTGCCAAATTCCGTGGGGATGCTGAGGGAGATTTCCTGGAGGTCCGGCGATAGCGACAGTTCTTGGACGACTCTCGAGGTGAGCCCGTACAACGGCAACGTGAGCTTCTGTAAGCGTCTCAGCCTCGGCAAAAAAGATGTTATCTCATCTTCGAATATGCGTGCGGATGAAAGAAAATGAAGCGTGAGGTGCGTGATCTCCGGTGAGCGGCGCGCGATCTGCTGGAGGTAAGATGCAAGGGGTTGCTCAGGTTGATGCAGTTGTACGTCGAGATGCTTTAGACGAGCATGGGTGAAGGGCAGGGAGTACGTCTGTTTTTTGTCGCATTCTGCATGCCACACGAGGGTATGGAGATTGGGTAGAAGCACGGGCGTTGGACAGCTCTTGAAGAGCTCAGAGAAGACACTATTATCGAGAAGCCTTCGCCATAGCTTTCCAGATTTCTGGCAATAGACCAGTCGACGAATGCGCTTTGTATAACGCAGGAAATTGTTCCAATCGCCCGCGGTGATACGTCTCCTGAATTTCTACCGCATGGTGTCAGCATCACTGAGACGTCACAGGAAATTGAAGAATCATCCACTGACGTATATATAGACGGTGGATCCTTGCTGCAGCGTCGCCTTCTCCGACTTGGACAGGGGACACAAGATATTGAGCAATCGCGGAAGATCATCGACGTCGCGCCACAGCAGATCCAAGGCCAACTCTGCCCAATCCTTGCAAACGCGAGCTGACCAAGCAAGCGACCGCTGGTCCAGGTTGGACAATATGAGCGAGATCAATTCGTCGATTCCCCATATTTTTGCAGAAGAAGGGGGGCTGGACATGAGAGGAGGAGTCGGAATAAGGGCTCAGACAAGCAGCTGGGATGCGATTCTTGGAGGCCGGCGATCGACTGCTTCGGTCTATATACCGGGCAATTAGGACGCGATGGCCACCCACGTGGCGCGATGCCCCCGGTTCCCGGAGACCCCGGGCCCCTAGCCCGGCCTTCCGATTGGCTCGTCGGCTGTGGAATCCCCGTATTCGAGCCGAGGACGCTACGCGCCGCGCACACGTGGCGTCGGCGTCCTTGCGAACTGCTTCTCTTCTCAATCCCCGCCGGCGCGTTGCAAGATCATTATCAGGCTGAGCGCTGAGCGTTGTGGGGACTGCCGCCTAATGACATCCAAAATTAACTGTGAATGAATGAGACGTATCACTAGCAGCGCATTCATCCATCTCAACTATTTTTGCGCTTATCTATTCAATTCAACAGAGCTGCTACTGGTCCCGCCCGGAAGCGCCACTACCTGTAACTGTCCATCTCGGCAACAAGTAAGGATGAACAGTTGCAACTGATCGTTCCAGACCCTAGTACACGCATGTTTGTAGAACCCCTTTCCCCTTGGAAAAATACCACAGGCAGAACACGAACACCTGGTGATATTCTGGCGGTTCTCCCGCCGCCCACGGATCTCCATTCATCTCGCGCGTGCGACGGTATCGCAGGAGCTATTCTCAAGCTCTCCCCCGCACCTCGAGCAAGTCTCGACGCAGCGTCATATCATCTGGTCTCAGGCCTTATGCTCATGGGCTGGACCCTACGGGCCTCTCATGACACATTCGCCTCCACGAGAGCGCCGGTATTGCACCAGGCACGACGTTGTCTGACTCCGGTCATCAAGAAGAACCCTATCGATGATATCGGTCCACCACAGGCGTGCCGCTGGCCACATCGTATTATGTAGTGATCCGTGTTTCAGCTCTTGATGTTGCTTCTTCGCGCGCCGGGCATCAAAATCTTTCTTCAAACAGGCAGGTTCTCTGGCGCTCGGCATCCCCCTCTAAACTTTGGAAAAGATGCAGAAGGATCCTTGCATCTTCCCTCGAAAAAAAGGCACGATATTGGTCTGATCGTTTGATTGTTGTACCCGGGGGAAAGGATGGTTTGACAGCTGGATGACATCAGAGGCAGCATCCATCGAGTTCGAGAATTTATTGAGAGCCAGCTGCCTTGTCCCTTTCCGCTGCCGCACGAGCCGCTTTGTAATTAATGCTCTGTCAACCTTATTAGCAAGGTACACCGAGTTCCGTCGAGTAGCGCTGGGAATCAAACACGCGGAGAAATAACGTTGCAGTACTGATCAATGGGGAAAGACATAAACAGCGGGGTCCTGACGCTGGTCGGGTAAGAGCATTCGCCGAGATATATCAGCAGACAGAGGGAATTGGTAAGGGATAGTACGGACGCTGGTAGCGGATCCAAAGTAGCAGGAGGAAGAACACAGAGTAGCCAAAAAGCAATCGAACAAACAAGCCTGTAGAGCAAATAAATCTTGAAACCAAGCACTTCGTTTGCACATTTCATTATCTCAGCATTATAACAGATGACGCACGCATGATCCAGAAGCATGTCACGAACCACAAAGCCCTCATGCAATCACACACCGCCCATCCTCAGTATCAGGCAACGCAGCCCTATCCTCCAACACCTTACACCTCACCCTCAAATCCTCCACCTCCCTCTGCAGCCCCTCCTGGCGCGCACGTTCCTCCGCGCGCAAGCGCGTCAGTAGCGGCAGCATGCGCGACACCTCCGCCCACTGATTATACCACTCCGTCGCGCGGCGCTGCATCAACCCGAGCATCTCCGAGTTGCCCTCCACCTCAAGCATGCCGAGGCTGTCCGGCCAGCTCACCCCAGGGATCACATCGCACCCCGGCGGGAGCACCTTGCTCAGGAACAGCGCCGCGGGCGCTGCTGCGCCAATGCTCGACACGCCGACGCAGAGCTTCGACAGCTTCCGGAACGGCACGGGCGCGGGGAGGCACTCCACATTACCCGTTATATACAGCCCGAGCTCGCGCAGGTTCGGGCAATGTTCAGCGAAGTAGACGAGTGTGCTGAGCGTGAGCGAGGACACCCCGAGCGGGATGAGCGGCTCGCAGTTGAGCATGAGCACCTCGAGCGTGGGCCACCCGGACGCGAGCTCCGCGATGTCGACCTCGGTGATGCGCAGAGGAAGGTCCCACCGCAGCTCGAAAGTCTTGAGCGTGCGGAACGACAGCAGCGGCCGCAAATGCTCCCACGCGAGACGCTTCGCCTCGAGACGCTCGATTGAGTCGAGGGCGTCCGGCGTCGCGTAGAGATCGACGTAGAGCGCGGTGAGCAGCTTGCAGCTCTCGGACACGGCGAGCAGGAACTCTGTGAGGACGTCGGGCACGACGCTGGACAGGACGTGCACGTACAGCGAGGTCAGATTGGCCGGCGAGAATTTGCTGTTTAGGAAGCGCGTCATGTCGGGGAGGTTGACGCTGAGGTTCAGGTCGTACAGCGCAGGGAACGCGCCTTCCTGCAGCCTCGGCGCGAACTCCTGCACGTCGCGCTTTTCGCCTTGGCCCTGCCTCTCTTCATATTCAAACTGCAGGCAGGTCAGAGCGGGCAGCATCGACACGGACTCCACGATCCGCGACGATATCGTATACAGCGGCATGATGATCCGCGTCAGCTTCGTGAGCTGCTTGAGAAGCGTGGTGAGGCCGTCTTCAAGGTCCCGCACGGGGAAGCCGAACGACAGATCGAGGCTGGTGAGATGCGGCATGCGCTCCGCCACATCCTCAAGGAACGTCGAGAGCGGGTGAGCGGCGCAGTCGTGCAGCTCGACGCGGAAGTCGCGCACGCTCTCGCCCATGAAAGGCAGGGCATGGCGGAGCCGCATGGTGCGCCACTCGAGCGTGTGCAGGTTGGGGAGGATGCTGATGGCCATGCGCGAGCGTGCGATTTCGTCGAAGATAGATGAGCATAGACCCTGTTCGGACCTGTCCTCGGTGTACGATAACTTTCGCACACGTCGAGCGTAGTGAGCGAAGCGGCGCCAGTCGTCTGGGTTCAGTGTTCTGGTAAAAGTCACCGGTGCCTGCAGTAACGATCAGTACTCGACATCGCTCGGGCGAAAAATTGGCTCACGTATCTGCTGGCCTGCCCTAGAGGAGCCAGAAGACTGAACAACACATTCAGATTATCCACATCGCGCCAGACGGCGTCGAGGGCAATCTCAGACCACCGTTTGCAGACGCAGGCATTGACGACATTGTTACGCTTCTCCAAGAAGCTGAAGATGAGCTCGATAATCTCTGGGATATCCAGCACGCGACGGATGGTGGAGTCGTAGCCGATACAAGTCACCCTGATAGCACAGAGTCGATTGGGAGGTCCCTTGTTATGAGGTCTTCCGTCGCTCTCCATGGCACGCGATGAGACAAAGCCTAGTTAGCAGAGAAATAGAGTCAAGGGTGGGCGAAAAGTGGATGAGCCACCGTTCGCGTTCAAGTTGAAACTTGAGCTTGAATTTGAGTGCGCGAACCGCGCCATTCCAGGCCGTTCCCCGCGTGTGACACGTGACCAACGCGTCTGTGGTCCGTGACAGTCGTTAGCGCTCATTGCAGCTGTTGGCGCCGGATTCACCTTCACAACCTCCGAGTCCCGACCGTGAGTTCGAGTCGGAAACGAGCTGCAAGATAGTTTTAGACGACGAGTCACACATTCGAGGGTCACCTATATCACTGGTTCATGGACTCTGTACAGTGGAGATTTCAGACAATAAATATTCTGTTACTTACCTGTATACTGGAGTCTTGCACACCAAGCCTGAAATGCGGGGCATAAGGCGGAAAAATAGAGACATGCGAAGGCAAGCTAAAATACCTGAAGGTGCTAGAGCTCCGGGTGAAGATACGAAGATGCGCGAAGGCCTGCCCAACGCCCCTCTCTATATATGTTACACGATGAGTGAACAGAAATTCAACGCATCTACTCGTTACGAGACCTCGACATCAGAACGCTTATGATACGGCACGTCTCCGGCATCAATCCTGGATGGCGCAGACGCGAATACATGTGACGGCATCGCCGGTCAACGGCCTGAGCGTATCAACGTTAGTCTCACGAGGAGTTCGTTTATGCGGAATACTCGATCGGTCTTGTGTCGTTGTTCAACATAGGACCGGACCAAATTATCTACGGAAAGCAGCTACAGTAGTACAGGATCTATTACCTGACCGCCGACACGAAAAACAGAACTGGCATATCCATCCCCAAATCCAGCATCACACCTCCTGCTCATACGCATCCCAATCAGCATACTCATTCCCCTTCTCGCTACCCTCATCCTCATCCTCGCCCATAGCATCCTCATCACCCTCACCAACCTCAACCTCTTCTCTACTCTCATCAACGACGACAACAGTCTTCCCTTCTCGTGGAGTCTTGCTCGTCGAGCGCGAGCGCTGCAGCGTCATACCAACGCCTCCACCGGCCTCCTCGACGATGAGCACCCCCTCGCCCTCGCTCTTCTCGTCCATCACATACAGGTCGTTATCCTTCTCGTCCACCTCAGGACCCATAGGAACCCTCGATGCCTTGGTGTCGTCGGTAAAAAGATCCTTGAGCGCATCATAGTTGATGCGCTTGCTGTACTTCGGGTTCTTCTTGATCAGGTTGCGGACAGACTCGGCAACAGTGCTCCCATGCGGCGTCGTCACGTCTCGCGGCTTGTGGCTTGTTTTTCGACGCTGCACAGAGGGACAATGTCAGTCAAACCCACGCAAGATGCGGAACATCTATTTCGAGAAAATAGTCTGCCATCACTCGGATACGAACCTTGCGACTTTTCTTATCCTTGAGTTCTTCATTTTGTTGAAGTTCTGTTTTAGCTGTGCGCATACCGTTTAGCAACCGCATGCATCGCGTCTCACACTGAAACAAAACATCACATTCAGACTCACCTGCAATAGCTTCCAAATAGTCCTTGTTTATCTCCACCCACACCCGCTCCTTGATCCTGACCTCTTCCTCAGTCAAGATGAACCGGTCCAGCTCCTCGTCATCCAAGCCCATCAGCTCGTCATCCCCAGCAAAATGCGCCCGACGCCGCTCTTCCGCCTCGTCCAGCGCAGAGCTGAGCACCGCCCCTTGCGGATTCACAAGAAAGTCAGAGACCTCCATCGCCACCGCAGCGTCGACCGTCTCCTCTAGGGGCGAAGGAGGCCGTGAAGACGTAGATAGCACTTGATCCAAAGCTAGCCCTTGCACGAACAGCGTACTCGTCAAAGAAGGCGGTGGCTGCAACAGACTCGGGTCGATGCTTTCCTCTGGCCCTTCACCTTCTTCCGGAAGGAACAGCGGAGTCTGCGACGTCCCGGCCAGGATGCCTTGGTTCAGGAGCGTAGGATCGATCTGCGGGTACGGCATAGGCGGCAGCTCTAAATGTCCGTCCTCGTATCGCAGTTCACGTACGTCCTCTCCGTCCGATTCTTCGCCGCGCTTACGTTTCCGCTTCCTGCCCTTGCCCTTGCCCTTACCTTTCTCCTTCTCTTTCTTCCCTCCGCCCTCCCGCTCCTCCTTCTCTCGTTCCTCCTTCTCCTTGCCCTTCGTGTACGCAGGCGGGTCCATCTCCTCCTCCAACCATACCGTTCTGAAGTCGGCAAGCGTCAGCGCACCACTGGGCGTAAGCCGGAACTCCTCGAGGCGCTTCTTCAGGGTGGTATCAGCGATCTTGACGACCTGCACGATCTCCGAGACACTCCGCCGGAAGTTGTTCATGCGCGCAGCGAGCAATAAGGAGGCGCCGCAAATGCCTGCTGGTCGCCTTCCGCGAGTCATCCAGTCGCGGTCGAATCGCTGTACGAGGCGCACGGCATCCATCGCTACTTGATGTGTCTCCTCCCCAAACTCGAGCAAAGCAGCAAAGCGGGAGATGTAATGTGAGGGATCGACGAGCGGCAAACGCAAGTTGAGCGTCTGCACAAGCTGGAGGTACGTGTGGCCGAGCTCGAACACATTCACCTAGAATACATCAGTCAAGTAACCACATAGATATCATAACTCGGACCATACCTGGAGTAGATCTGAGAAATCAATGAGCATATAGTTCCTCGTCTCCTTCTGGCGACATGCAACGTAGAGGCATATCGCGACGACGTTCATGCTCCTGCGTCCCTTCGTGAACTTGTGCTCGACCGCAAGCGTGTAAAGCCGTGTAGCCGCGAGTGAGACTACCTCTGAGAGGCGCAACGCGTTGGCGACTTGCTGAATTTTCCGACTTGCTGTGAATACGTAAGCATACGGGAAGATAATAGAGTCGGTCAGCATACCGTTTGCAATAGTCTGCTCCCGGCTCTCGCTGTTGCCCCTGTTTCCAAATATGCCACCCATCCTTGCGCGGGCTACGAAAAGCAGGGATCAACTCAGTCAATGCTCATGTCGCATGAATCGCCGCTTACGCACTTGCTCCTTGCCCCACGAAACTCCCCTGCACCATCGCAGCACCAGTGCTCGTCTCACCGAAGACTACCTAAACATGACAGGGCAAAAATTGCGAACCGACGCAGATTCAGTAGGGTTTACAGGCGTCAAGGAGGAGATAAATGCACTTCGCTGACTATCGTGTTCTCCTCCACAACCGTCCCACACTGCACGCAGAACCCGTTTCCAGCAGCTGCGTCATACTCGATGACCGTTCCACCACAGTCTGTGCAGACCGTCTAACCGCCATTGATGCGACGTAGACATCACGATTGTAAGAAGGGAGTCACCGCGATCAATCGACGGAAGCATCAATCAACGAGGGGTTTTGAGGGCGATACGCGATAGCAAATGAGAGCGTCGAGGAGTTAACGGTGCGTATTGTGCGACAGATGACAAAACATCAGTGAAAACACAGAGTAGGGGAGGTAAGGCACGGACTTACCATCTTCGCAGAACGTTTCGGGCTGTGGCTCTCCGCGGTCTATGGGGTATAGCTTACAAATCTGCGCAACGTACGTCAAGTACGCCCTCATATCAAGACAATCTGATGAATGCCCACAAGGATAGAGTATACGCAACAAAAGATACGCGCGTCTCGAAAACCCGAGGTGTACTTCCGTTCAGCAAGATTTTCGCTAGACAAGACGTCGACTAGGATCAACAGCGAGTAGACACAACAGCACCCCCGAATAATGACGAGGACGCGCGTCCAGACATATAAGTACAGAGGGAAAGCGCACGAGTGTGAATAGTCTCAGATTCAGAGCAAAAGCTAGCCGGAGGCCGGGACAGTAAAGGGGCCGTGACGTGTGCCCCTTCGTGACGCTCGCGCTCTGTCACAGCCTCCTCACGCCAAGTCACGAGCGGTCACCGGGCCGTGTGCCACCGGACCTGCGAGATACTTCGAATTCAAGTCTTCAGACCGGTCACCGCAGAACGGTACGAGCATCAGGTGAATTCCTCGCACTGTCAAACTGTTCATGCATCAGCTTGTATAGATTTCATGGGTGACAGGTCATAAACAAGGTAACAGGTAAGATAACAACGATTGACAACAGACGACGGTAGTCCATGAAAGCCAACTACTAATAGCAGCTTCCGGATATCAAGAATACATATAGAGTCTCGATATAAAAAGGGACCTGGCATTTTGCCCTCCCCACAGTCGACTCTGCCCTGCCCCTAACGTGCGTCCCTTGGCATTTTCCTATTTCCTCATATAACTTACCTTTCGTCTTTGCTCTCTCTCTCTCTTTCCAATGGCATCCAACACCTCCGTCGATCTCAACGACTTCTTCGTCTGTTGTATAGCTATCGCTGCTCAGCAAGCGGGCAGCCAGTCGCCCGTCTCGCCCGTCTCCACCTTTAGCACACACGGCCTCGACGAGGACGTCCAGGACATCGTCGCCCCTGAGTCCCGTCTCTCCGACTCCTACCCTGCGGCTTTCACCGACTTCTACGGCCTGCCCAGCAACCCTCCCTGCGTCTTCAAAACCGGCGATGCCTGGCCTGTGCGCATGGGTCCCGAGGCGCAGCGCATTCTGCGAGAGGCCCGCCCGGTCTGTGAACATCCGATACAAGACCGCTGGCTCGATATTGGCCAGCTCATCTGCGAGCACCTCGACTCCCGCGAGGTCAAGTGGTCGTCGATCGACCCCGTTCGTTTTGCCGAGGCAGGGCAGGAAGATGTCAGTGCTCTCTATCTCTGGATAGGGATCATCCCTGGGACTCTCATCTTCGAGGCTGCCAAGGTTGCAGCCGAGGGCTGCAAGGATATCCTGGCTCGAGAGGGGTTCCCCGATGTCGAGGTTGCATTTCGTGAGTCTGTTGTCACCCAGTCCATTGGCCCAAAGCTTCTCTCCTTCGACCCCTCTGTCGACCCCGTCCCCGAGCTTCGTAGCCCCTTCACTCCTGCGCTTGGCATCCAGATCGCTCCGCTCAAGACACCTCACTACGAGGGCACAGGTGCCGTCTATCTCCGCGAAAGCAGCCAGAGCAACCGTGTCTTCCTTCTCACCGCCGGCCACGTCGCTCGCCCACCTCCCACACACTGTGACCCGCTCCTATCGCGCAAGCACAGCAGCCAGGCTTGTCAGGAGATTGTCGTCCTTGGCACTGATGCCTACACCGATGCCATCAACCGTATGATGAGTACCATCGGCCATGAGCTTCTCTCCATCAAGACATGGGACGAGGAGCTTGAGAGGTTGGGTGCGGTCGTTGAGGGCGAGGCGCTCAAGAAGACTCGCGCGCGCGAGGACTACGAGGACCTGGTGGCAAAGGCGAGGAGGAGGATCGAGGACGTAAATGAGATCCATGACGAGGTCACCAAGAACTGGACAACTCCGAACCAACGTGTGATTGGTTATGTCGTCCACGCCCCTGCGATTGCCGTCGACGACGGCCCCAAGCACTTCACCCGGGACTGGGCCCTGATCGATCTCTACCGCGACAAGATCGACTGGGACACTTTCCAGGGTAACAAGGTATATGTCGGTGCGTTTCCATCTAATCTTGGCAACACCGTCCCCGGTTTTAGTGTATTTTTATGAAAATATCCAGGCGGCAAGATTTCGGCGGCCGACTTTATCCTGAAGATGCACCCTCACCCTGAGGGCCGGTCGGACTTCAAGTACCCCCCCGGCGGGCTCCTCCAGGTCAGAGGCGTCGTAAAGGACGACGAGATCCGCAAGCCACAGCAGCTCGATGCCAACGGCGAGAAGTGTCTGATTGTCGTCAAGAACGGGAAGACCACAGGCACCACTCTCGGTCGCCTCGCGGGCATGGAGTCGTTCGTTCGCAGGTACCCCGAGCACGGCATCAAGAAGACGTCGATCGAGATCGCCGTGTACCCTTACAGCAACAAGGACGGCGCGTTTTCTGCTCGTGGCGACTCTGGCGCCATAGTGGTCGACTCGAAGGGCCGCGTCGTCGGGCTGCTCGTTGGTGGTGCTGGCACGAATGGAGAGTTTGACGTCACGTACCTCACTCCCTACTGGTGGATTGAGAAGCAGATGAAAAAGGTGTTCCCTAACTGCTTCCTCTACGAAATCGTCGACTAGGTTCGTCGCCTGGATTTTTTTTGACTTTCCTTTTTGTGCATAGTTAATAGCCTCTATCCTCTCTATTCACGATATATGTATAGATAGACCTCAGACTCGTCGTGTAGGTTCGTTTCGTTTCGTTTCCTTCTTCCGTTCATACTATACCTGCACACACCGATATTGTACTATTAATGTGTGTGTACCTCGTTTCGTATCTTGTAATAACAGTGTTCATGTCATGTTCCAACTTGTGTGCGATAAATTAAAGTTGGATATTAAGGTAAAGGGTAACGTAAAGTTGACATGGGCACTTGTTGCTCTGGTGCTAAATCGTGCTTGTCCCTCTTTCTCTTTTGCTCTCTTCTTGCTCACCACTTCAAGATGGCAACTCAAAGTCCATGGTCAATCTGTATGATTTGATGGATGATGGGTCATAATCAAGGTAACAGTTACTGTAACAACGATTTGTAACCGACGACGGTAGTGCATGAGAGCCAACTGCTAACGGTAGGCTCCAGATATCAATACATACTCATACAGACTGTTCTGCAGAACAAGCGAGGAGAACCAAACCATCTATATCGTACACTCTCCGCAGTTTGGCGACAACAGGCACATCTCTGAGTTTTCCAAGTTCAGTGTCCAGATGTGACCTCCACGAAACGGGGCGCCACCAACGATTCTTCCGACGAGTCCTCCTCCCATGGTGGCAGCAGCTTCCGCGGCCTCACGCTAACCCTCACGAAGCACCCGATCTGGAACACCAGCTGGTCTCTACACCGCCCCGCCACATCCGGAGTCTGGAGCAGCTCCGGGTTCACATCCAGAACCGCCTCAACAAGGCTGAGGTACGTCAGATTATGTGTGGGCGCACGGCGCAGCGTCCGCAACAGTGCCTGCGTGAAGGACCCTCCTTGCGGCGTGTCCTCTGCCACCTCGTCCTCCCGACACGCGACGAGCACGACATGCGAGGACATATCAGGCTTCCAATCGCTCCTCGTCACGCTCCCCGGCGCCCACCGCTTCCTCGCATTCCGCTCTGCCGCAGCGAGCATCGCGTCCAGCTGGCCCTCCAGCGGGGGCTCGTAGCGGGCTTTTGTCAGCGCGCAGCGGTTGCTGCTGCCAGCTGAGAAGCAGCAGTCGAGGATCACGGTGATGTTCTCGCTCTTTGCGTCCCGCAGCTCCCCCATGAACAGCTGGATCTCCCGGTCGCTGATGTCGGGCGTGCGCTTTCCTGTTGGGAACCTCGAGCTTCCACGGTCGCGAGGGAGGATTGCTTCTACCGTCTCCGAGGGGCACTCCGTGGATGGCGAGGGATACGTCGTCCCGTGGCCGGCGAAATAGACGAGAACGGCGTCACCACGCTCGATGTTGTCGTTATCCCGCAGAAAGGTGTAGAGCGTGTCGAGGATGCGTTTCCGTGTGGCGTCACCATTCGTGAGCGTGCGGATGTGCTCTTGGGGAACGTGCAGCGAGCCGAGGAGGTAATCTCGGACGTCGAGCGCATCTTTGACGGCGCCGTTCAGTCGAGATGCGTGCTCGTAGTCGTCGATGCCTATGAGAACGGCCCAGGTACGCAGCCCGCGGACGAGAAGGCTCGACGATAGCGGCAACCTTGCGAACTGTCAGCATATGGTAAGTCTACGACAGATACAAGTATTATCGGTGTATGGACGTGCCTGTACGTCGTTTTGGACAGAAGCTGCCCACGAAGAGTTTACAAATCTCGCTGCCGGAGCGTATCCAGGGCGGGAAGACTGTGGTCGATGAGACTTTGGTCACTGTGGCGGTCGAGATAGCCTGCATACCTTGGTCATTGTGCTTGAACTTGCTGTCCGTGGTGTGCGGCGCGGATACTTGGATACTCGCTCCGCTCCAGTGAGTGGTCTAGTATATATGTATGGCTACACAGAGCACAGATATGCACCGGATACGTCAGGCTGTACAGCTTAACGCCGACCTCAGTTTTTCAAAGGCTGCTGTCATTCAAGGCGTCGGCACTAGAACGTTTGCATTTAGAGCGACCACACAGCCTTGCACAGCCAAGCGGGCGTGAAGAAGGGACCAGTACTGCTAGTTGCGAGGCGAACATGGCATGGTCGGTACCGCTTTATTACCCGGAATTCTCCATATAGATCCTGGCCTCTCACAGATCTCACCGGCTGCTCACCACGATTGCCCAAATATCTGTGGTCCATTCTCACGCGCACAGCTGTTACGGAACTTGATACAGGTTACATTCCATATAACACCTCTAGTATCAAGTCCAGACCGCAAGCCTGCATTGTGTTACAAAAAAGGTTAGGACCAGCGCAACGCACGCTCAGCGCTATCCTCATTGCTGGAGCTATGCATCAAACACTGATATGTGCGCTGAGCATGGTCGATGAATCGATGATATCCGGATACCAGCGGTGGACACAAGGACGATATACTGAAGACAGCAGATCATCGCAACAAGGCAGCGAACGTTGTGGACACAGCCAGCGTCACAGCAAGTCATCATTCCACGCGGTTCAAATGGCTTCATCGCCAGCTTCCACCGGAGCACTGCGTGGTACATTCCTGGCCACTGGCACCACTTATGGCCATCCAAGTCGGATCAAGGACATGCGTGTCTGAAAGCTCTGCATCGGCGCTTGGGGAGTCAAGCAAATTCAGCTTATTCACATCTATCGGTACGGTGCCGCACACTACACAGCGAGACACAGGGCTGTTGATATTCGGCCAGCAGAGAGAGGGGGGAAAGCGTAGTACGCACAGGTAGCTACAACAAACGCGTCGCGCCTGGGGAGCGGACCGCTGGCCGCGCAGTGTACGTGCTGACTTCAATGTCCACCCGGTTGTATACCCCCTTTTATTTATATGACCGGGCGCGTTAGCATCCGTCTAGACACTGAATGGCATTGGCTTTCAAGCCGGATGGCCCTAACGCCTGGACGTTGACGTGCAGGAAAGATTTTATGTGCGTGAACATATGCAACCTTTACCTACCTTCACAGGTCTCAGCACATTCGAACGACAGACGACTGCTGCATACATCGACCCATTCGTCTAGGAAGAGCGTGTTCCTCTGTATCTTCTCCATTTTCTTGCGTGACAAGCAAATACATGCCCGCCGAAGTACAGAAAATCCTGCCATCTGCCACACGTTCGTTGCATCTCCCGTTGGTCAAGCTTAGCTGACTCTATGCTCGTTCTCTATCATGTCAAGCAAGTGCATGCCCCGCCCGAGTGCAGAAAATCCTGCCATCTGCCTCGCATTCGTTGCATCTCCCGTTGGTCAAGCTTAGCTGACTCCTCTCTGCTGGTGGTCCCGAAGAAGTCCGAGTACGACTTTGGTTTCGTCGAACTGCATGTGCGCCACATCCTTTGCCCTCCCACCGACATCCATATTGAGGCCGAATATGGAAGCGGCTTCCCTGAGCTAGAAACGCTCGAGGAGAATAAACGTCGTTCATAAGGGAACCTATTCCCGGCGATAGCAAAGAAAGTGCGCTATTACATCCATTCCAGCTCGAAGTTGAAGTCCTATAAGACCCGCTCGGATTACAAGGAACCAGTTGACGAAGAATCACTACGGGAGGCTCGTGAAGGACCTTACTGCCGAAGTGCACGCATCGCCTAAGCCGAACTACCGCTATGCTGTCGGAGTGCCCCAGCTTCACAATGTATCACCGTCGATCAGTGCTCGCTTGCCTATTCGTATACTCTGGCTACACCGTGCACGAGTGTCAACAGAGAAGCGCATACATCAAGAAGCCGCCCAACCACCCACGAAGCACTACGACAGCGATACCCATAGCAGTGTCCTGACGAGCTGTGCAGATGAGGCGACCGGATCTGCGAGGATCGTTCCAGACATTTCGTTCGACATCCCCGTGGTCGCATCTCTCGGGGGCGTTAGGGTGCGCAGCGACTGCTCGACACCCTTTTCACGCCTAAGTCATGACTGGATGTCATCAGAACATTTTTCGACCGTGATAGTGTATCAGTGAGGTCTCCTGCCGGTGAGCCAGATAACAGGACCGTAACACGCAGACAAGCTAACTGTGAGTGACCTTGCCCAGCAAGCCGCATGCTCTTGAAGAAAAGTGCGGAACCGGACATTGAATCGCTAAAGTCGACTGAATCTGAGGCGGAGTGGCGGGAACATTCTTGTGCCACTCTATGGCCTGACTTAGAGACCAGCTTTGCAACGTTCTCGCACGATCTTGCATATAAGCGCAACGACAGGCCAAACTAGCGGGAGAATAAGCATCTATACTTGATCAGGGAGCGGCCGCCACCTATCTATCGTCTAAAATAATACAACCAACTCTGAAACACCGCGCGCAAACAACATGATCAAGATGACGACGTAACCAGCCCGCAGAGGAGTCATTGCTGTTTTTACAGTACCAGTAACGAACCGACGGCAAAGAGACGGCGCAAGCATATATGTAAGTAAATCGTGATGAGTAGCTACCAGTAAGGAATGTCAGTTCGATCATCTATATCTAACAAATGCAGTGGCAGACGAGCAACCGTATGTCCAAGAACGCGAGAACCTCTATCAACTGTGAAGAGAAAATGCAGGGGAGATGTCAGTTACTGTGGTATATGTGATGTAGGTGCGTATGCTGAGTATGGTACTCAGTGAGGACGCGGAGGTATCCATGGCGAGCGCGCCGGGGCTGAGCAGATAAGCAGGCACTGCAGGCGATGCAATCTAGGTGATGGAAGGATAACGGAGACTAAACGAGGGGAGAACTTGTCGAGAAGGGGCGGATGATAGTGATGCGAGAGCATATGAGGTGAGGTGCGATGAAGAAGCACCTGATCAGAGAGAGAACACACCGCCCGCTCTGCGGCGCGATTGGACGGGATGCACGATGACGAGGGAGATGCCAAGACCGACAGTAAGACCGATTGATACGGAAACAAGCTGCAGTGCGGTGTCGAAACCGGACAAGTACGATGTTTCAGATGACGAGCCGCTCGTCTCCGCAGTGACAAACGAGAACAACCCGCCGTTGGCGAGCCCAGAAGGCAGCTGGAAGAGAATACCCGTAATCTAGAAGAAGCGCATCCGCGTGTCAGACCAACCGATGTTGTCGAAGGGAGTATAATGGATCCTCACCATGACGACAAACGCGTTCCCATTGAAGAACTTGCCATACAAGTTCGCGAGGAAGCCGACCGCCATGCCGCCCACGGCAGCAGGAATATCATTCTGGTTGGGAAACTTCGTGCCGGTGAAATGATTACACACCCAACCAACGCATGAGATCGCCACGAGAATGTACTGTGTGGCAGCCAAAATTAGCGCAAAAACGCGAGCAAACAAGCAGTCATACCGTTTCTTTGCGATTGTAAGGCGCCTGATTCCGAAGGCTCAAGAATAACGAGTACATTGGTACTGTCAAAAACGCCCACCACTCGGATGGCGTAATCTGGTACCATGGCCCACCTGCAGGATGACTCTGATTACACGTTAAGTCATCCGAACCCGCGAGCGTATGATGTGTCATCTTTGAGTAGATCGTTGCGCCAATTGAGAGACCAAATCCAAGGAAGAGAGAGTAGATGATGGAGAAGCACACCCGGACAGCGCCAGAGACGAGATTGCGTGACGACAGCTCCAGACTACCGCAGAGGATGATAAAACCCTACAGACGGCAGACAGATTAGCACGCAAAGGCGAATGGAACTGAGGTTACGTACGGGGAGGATTAGCACGATGGACGCAGCACCGATAGCAGTATAGCAGAAGATGTGGCTGTCAGCGAGAGCAGCGGCGATGAAGCTGAATAGTAGAGTGACGGTAATCCTACAGGAGTATTTAGCAATCGCTTGTTAAAACAAACAGAATAAAACAGACATACTCAAAGACGTTGGAGTACAGCTCATTCTTCGCAACAAGAAGCTGTATGACGATCAGGAGGCATCCGAGCGGGAACGAGATCAACGAGTCAATGAACGACCCGTTGAAACTGACACTACAAATGAATGCCGAGCAGAAGCCTCCGATCAATACCAGCTGCCAAAACTTGTACAGCTGCGGCTTCCGCATCAGATCATCCAGCGCGACCGACGCGTCCTTGACCGAGATCTCGTCGTGGATCACCTTCCAATACAGCGCATACGCGTCCTGCAGCTTGCCGATGTCGAGCGCGCTCCCCTGACGGATGAACTTGATGTTGCTCGTGCTCGTCGCCGAGTCGTCAAACGAGATGAGCATCACGTCGGGGAGGTACATGCAGCTCAACGGGATGTCGAGCACCTTTCCGGTTGCCTGGATCTGCGCCTGCAGCCTGTGTGTCGGCCCGCCAAACATCATCATCGCGCGCGCCAGCTTCAGAATAAACTCCTGGCGCTGCACGATCTCCGCAACGTGCCGTGTGATCTGCAGTAACGTAGCCAGGATGTCAGCGTATCAACACATCGACAAACGCTGCGTGAATACACACGTAGATCTCAGCCTTTTTCCGCTTCCGCCGTTCGCGCCGCTGCTTATCCGCCTTATCCTTCGCACGTATCTTTTCCTTTTCTCTCATAAGCCACTCCTCCTCGCTCGTCGTCGGCGACCCAGGCGTGCTCGGCGTATTCGCGCGACTCCACGTCCTCTTCGGCAGTTCCTTCAACACTTCCGTCCAATTCGTCCTCGACCTGACCGACTGAGGCGAGCCCTCATTCTCATAAGATTTCATCGGGAACGACGACGTCCGCAAGTGCGACGGGTGTTCGGGCACCGTGTCGATCGAGGTCGTCGGCGACTCGAAGTGCGCACTGCGCGGCCGGCGGAGAATGTGTTCGAGCTCGTTCGCTTCAGATGCATTCGTCGTCTCCGCGGAAGGCAAATTCGCGTCCAGCGAGTATCTTTACAGTGGCCACATGGTGCATGAGCAGATGATCGAAAATGAAGGGGCCCACCGAAAGACAAATGAACTTACCGTGAGAGATGATAACCCGGCCGCTTGATGCTCGGCGCAAGCGTACTGTTCGCAGGCGCAGCGACGCCCGAGATATTACCGGTGCTCGCAATGAGCGGGCCAAACACTCCCGCACCATTGCGCGCTTGTGGTGGCCGTGAATCGCCCCACGGCCTCGGCAGACGGACGTTGGACAGGGTCGCGAGCGACACCGATGATCCGTTCGCCGAACCCGCCCATCGCGGTGTGCTACGTCCACGCTCTCGTGATGGCGACCTAGACTTACGCCCGAACTCACTCTCCCGCGTCGTTGTCCGCGACCCCGCAAAGAACGATGACGGTCGCGACTCGTCAAATGATGACCGTGCTGAGAGCGTGCCGACTGTTCCCGACTGTGCATCGCTCGCATCGTACAGTGAAAGGAGAGCCGAGAGCACTCCAGCTCCACGCGGCGGGCCCGCCGGCGATAGCGGCTTCTGCGCGTCCTTCTCCACATCCGAGTCGGTCGCCGAGTGGTGGCCGCCAAACGGGAAGCGCCACTTCTTCTTCCGATTCTCGCGCTTACGAGTCCTGGTACCCGTCCGGTGCACGATCAAGCTGCTACTCGCACCATCCTCCTCCGACGTGCGACCAAAGTGTGGCATGTGCATGTGTCCGAGTACGCCGCGCCGGTGTGCATTGATCACCTGCTGGGCCTGCTGCACCGAATGCCGCTCCGTCCCTGCGCCTGGCAGGCCTGCCGTCTCACTCGGATCGATGAATGCCTCACCGGGCACATCGTGTGTCGGTGCCGCGTATTCCGCGGGCGTCGACGACTCTGTCGACGTCGAGTCGCGCGTCAGCACCGTGTGTAGCCGTGGAAGGCTGCCCGGTGATACCGATTGATGCCGCTCTAGCGCATCCGTGAGCGTCTCAAAGGCTGATGGCTATAAAGGAATGATCAACGACATATTCTGTACGAGAGAATGGAAGTGAAGATAGTGTGAAAGAAGCATCACAACACAATGCACGAGGATGCAACGTTGGCTGCAATTTTCGTGCTGCGGAAACAGATGGACATCGCAACAATCGGACAGTAGCACGTTGATTCTGCCGTCAACACGTAACGCCGCAGGCTTATCTCGGCGTCTTGGGCGTAACGCCGCAACGTTAAAACGCTAACTGCGCCTTCGCAGGCATGCGATGAGGTACTATCGCCATGCGATCCGTCGATGCGCAGAATACAAGCTCAGAGAGCAGATTTAACTACTTCCAGCAACGTGCCCAACATCGCGAAGTAGCGGAGCGCAAGATCGCATGACGATAAGACCATGCGGTGTCACACAGTCGATCCGAACGTGTCTGGCATCGACGAGGCAGCAAGTGCACATTGTTGATGTAGCTCTGCCAGCCGCGCAGGAGCTGCGACACCTCATGCGACTCGCCCAGCCTGAACGCTACCGATGGCGGCTTGCCTTGTCGTAATGAGATGGCCATGCTCAACGTCGCATCGTCCATCGCGTCGGCAGGTGAGCGTCGCTCCGACGAGTCACAACAAGGATTCATCCGGCCGTTTCCGGTCTCGCCAACGTCTGTAGACGTTCCCTGTCGTGCAGTCTGCCAGACACAACCACGCCTGATCGGTTCGTATCAGATGCGAAATCGCATCCGCGATAACGAGTGAAACGTCCAACACGCAGACAATTGCCTCCGCGCGTCCGAGACGAGAGCTGCGTTTCAGCCTCATTGCCAGCCCGCGATATCGCTGGCGGGAATGCCCCCGCTGAGCGCGACAAAGTGTACGAGATGAAAGCGACCGCGTGTGCCTCTCGCAAATCTCTCGCAAACGCTCAGGAGACGCTACAGCCATCCAAGCGTCCATGCCGTCCCGCACGCACGCACGCACCCTAAACCAGCCCAGAACAAGAAAAACGAACAAGTGAACACGACTCACGTCAAGTCCTTGTTCGTCAAGTGCGTGGGCCGCCGAACTCGGAGTTGTTGGTGACTCGTCGGCTTCTGCAACCTGCCACTGAACCTTGCGAGGAGTCTTCGTGCCGGATCTGCGCGTCCCGCCCGGCGGTCGACCGTCGTGATGATCTATTGGAAGCGGAGAAGAGGTACTCGGAGAACTGCTGTGGTCCATAAGGGTGGCGGTGGAGGGAGGGCTGCTTGGGAGAAGGATTCCCTCTGGCTGGCGTTGTCCATGATTGAGCGAGGGGGACATAGGATAGTAATGTACATGTGCAGGGAGTGGAAGAAACGAAAGGTGGGAGAGTGAGTGAGTGAGCAAGAAATAGGACGGTCTGGACTGACGATATAAAGAGCGGGCGGTCTAGACACGAGATTGGTGGTCGGTGGTAGATGGCCACGGTGGCAGTCGCGACGCGTTCCAAGGAGCGACGCGACAGACGCGCAGAGATGGAAGTCGAAGGCGGATGAAGCGAAGCAGAAAGAGTTCAAGCTAAGAAACAGCAAACGAAGCCGCGACCGTTCGGTCGTCCTTGTGGTCGTTAACGAGGCTGCCGGGAGCGGGCAAAGAGCTGGAATCCGATTCTCGTGGGTGACAAGACGCGCAATTGTTGAAAGCTTGCCATTTCGGTGACATTAATGCAGCATCCATCGGTGTCCCAAAAAGCACGCTTGCCGACCCGCCGACCGTCGAGAGTGGAGCAGAACCCACACCAATTTTATGCCGCCTGACGTCAAGGGCCAATCGGCTGTCCCGGCCCGCGCCACATTCTCTCGATCGCCAACCCATTTTGGCCGCGAACCCTCGTCTATGGCTTTTGGGGCGCGTTCGTCGTCTGCCCGACTGCCGACCCGTTGCTGCGCTCTTGTTATCGTCGTCGTGCGTCTTGGCGGCCACGTTGCCCCGCTGCGCCAATGTCTCCCGCCCTGGTCTCCGGTGGTCATAGCGCTCTTCGTCACCCGCGATGGCCTGCTCAACGCACGCGCTGTCAATTAAACGCATGACGGCACCCCACGCTCCTGTGCAGCCCGCCTATGAAGATCCGGCGTTATCTCCTGTGAGTGCATCTTCGCTCTTCTATTCATACGGCATACCCCCGCCTCGTTACACGTGCTCCCCGTCGCCATCGCTTCTCCGAAGGGATGCACCATCTTAAGTCTTCTCAATGCATCCATCGACTTCGCGCTCCAGCGGCCCCGTTCCACGTCCGGAATCTGTGCCACGCCTCCCGTGAACACTGCAATTCAATCGAGTGTATTGAACCTTACCATCGTTCTCATGCAAATCGCGAACACATTGCGCTCGGTGAACTTGCCGCACCAGCCGGACCCTCTAGGATCTGCTAATAGGTCACTTACTGCGGGAAAAATCATCCACGAGGCGATTCTTGACAATTCGCTGCACCCTCGATAATCCCCCTGACAGCTCAATTTCACACTCCACATGGCCCGCAGCTGCACCACCCGTGCTCGCATCGTATTTGATACCCCGAAGTCTTCCGTTCTGTTCATAGCTCGCCCATTTGTCTAAAGTAATGTTTTATCTCACCTTTGGAGCGCGTCGATGTCCGCCGACGCCCTCGAATCACCTAGACAGATCAGATGCCTCGATGCAGCCAGTGATGGATGGCTTCTCCAGAGAAACGGCGCCCCACGCGTTTGCGACATTGATAATGAGGCATATACTGATACGGCGAGCTAAGAGTCATGGGAGATGTCCGATGGCAAGCTCAGCATCCGCAAGGAAGAAAGAACGACTCCAATTCGGAGCAGGGGGGAGGCGGGGAGTGGGAGAATTGCTCTATTCAAGGCCAGAGATCGCTTTATATACCTGCAAGTGACAGGGAAGCCCTACATAGAACCAACGTGACGGCTGGAGTCGAGCGATGACGAAACGAACGAGCGTAGAGCGCCAGGAAAGGAAGGCGTGGCGTGCCATATCGGGGCCACATGACCGAAAAGGAAGACTAATGCAGAAACAGGAGGCGGCGCGTCGTCGGTGGCATCCTCACACCTTTCAATCGGTCGAATTGAATGTTAAAAACGTTGAACCTTGGGTGGATTGAAATATTGAACGTCAAACCTCCAAATATAAGACAACCGCTTGCGATCCGTGCCTAGTCAAGCTTGTAAGTGAGGTGGCAATATTCTACATATAAGATCTGGGAGTGTTGAAGCTCTTTTCACAGCTGGCATTTCAATCACACGTGTGCGCAGTGCGTCTCTATGAGAGCTCATTTGCTCGTATTTTGACTCTCATTTAGAAATCTCGTTCTCCAGTCTTCGTGGAGAAATCACCAATGCATTCAATCCGTCGACTGCCGTCTCTCTTCCGAACGAGGCGTAAATTTTTGACTCTGATTGTGAGGCTCAAGCCTTCATCCTCTTGTTCTTTGTCTCACTTCGCCTCGTTCTAGACTCGGACCGGCCTGCGGACGAGCGCAATTAATTGCGTGGCGCGGAGGACTCATGTTTTCGTGCACACTGCATATCCCTGCGTCTCATTGGTACGCACCTGCAGCCTATTGTCTCAGACTTGGCACTAACAACAACAATCGTAGCCCCCTATATCGCAAGCCTACACCTGGGCGCCTCTCACAGTGTACAATGTGAGCGCGCATACCGGCCCGCCTTCTGTCCCGGTGGACCCGGTGTCTATCATGGGCGCTTGCCTCTCTTCGCCGCTTTGTGGCCCATTGTCCAAGCGCACAAGTTTTTACGCAGCATGGTAGCTGATTCAGTAGCTGGTTGTGTGGACGCCTAGCTGTTCGTCCCCCGTTTCCGAGCCGCACGCTGATTCGCCCCTCTATACCCCTCTCACCGCTCTCAGGTGCCAACCCATCTCACTGAGCCACTGTCTCGCACCTCTCTCCGGTCTCATTTCCCTTCATACACACGTTTTTACCCTGCGCGTCACTGCCTCAGCTTATCTTCTACGCAGCGCAATCTCGCCCGCGTCTCATCTGCCTTGGCAGCTCGTCCGAATGCCAAATCCATCACGGAAACTGCGCTGCGGCACATCATGGCGCACTCGTCATGCACTTCCGAACTGCACAGCATAGTCATTACTCCGTATGCAGCGGCAGTAACGATCTCGGCCTCTATATTACCGATCTGCGCACTAACTAGACGATGAGAGTGTATGCACCCGCACGCTCTTGTGCAAGCCAAAACATTGTGCGGTCAGATCGTCGCTTCAAGTGGATATCTCTAGCGACGTTATGGGCTGTGAGGGTGTAGTCGTCACGGCAGCCAGCAACAGATCAAGAATTTGGTTTCTTTTCGCGATCCCTCATGTGAGACGCGGCATTCCTTCATTCCGAACTGCATATTCTATTCAGTTGCCGCATCTATTCAGGTATGCATGATCGCGTCATTCATTCTGAGCCACTATCTGCGTTGTCGATTATATGTGTAGACAAATTGATTTTGCCGTATATCAGTTACCGGGTGATGCAACAGTACATCATGATGTAATACGGGCTTAAAAACAGGCCGATTGCGAACCGCTTCATACTTAACAGTCCAACCTCTCCACCTAGACATGTCTACCGCAGCATCTGAAGCAATCACCCTTCTGGAAGAAAAGTGTGTCTCTTCACGTAGTTAAGACATACTGCATTTAATGATGTATTATCAGCTTCACAATCAACTGTGCTACTATCGCCGGAGCAGGCCAGTCGTGCATTTCTCCCTTATTTCTGATTGATCACTGACGATTTTCATTCAAACAGCGCTCATATTCTTCGACTATGTCATAACATTTGGCCAGGAAGTCCAGCTGTTCTGGGGTGAACAATCATTCTCTGCATGGTTGTTCTTTGCCAATCGGATGGTTGCACTGCTCTATGCTAGCATTTCTGTCTGGTTGGTCATGAACTTTTATACAGTCACGGTACGCTGTTGCTAACCATCTCCATTTGATACATCTTCGATTTATTGACATTGTAGAGGTGATTTAGTCCCCGTTGCTATATTGATTCGTGTCTGACTGTTATTATCTCACAGTTGTATGGGAAACATCGTGGCGACCAATGTGGTTTTCGAACTCATTGCGGTAACCTCACAGGGTAGGCTGCATGCTTCATGACGAATAACCACAACTCAAAATGTAGCAAAGTGGTTACAATGTTACGATTATACGCCGTGACAGGTGGCGACCGACGACCTGTGATGCTCCTCGCATTGATGGCGGTGCTCAACGTGGTCGTGAACACCTACAATAGTATGCTTCCTCTGGTCAGGACATATTCTTGATTGACTGACAACGAATTGATGAGAAGGATTCGCCCAAGCAGCATATTCTGTGGTCATATTGAATAGGACAGCCGTATGCATCCAGTCTCTCACTTCAAGTTCAGCGCAGGATGTCGCTTTGAAGTGTGTAAACCAATATTGCCAATAAATCCGTACTTGCTAATCTGTTTCGCCGTAGGTGTGAGTTTGAACTCAAGAATGCTTTCCTCCACATTTTTGACAATCCCGCTGCAGTGGGCATAGCCAATGATGTCTTTGCTTCAGCCGCCGCCATCATGACGCTCGCAATTCTCTGGCGCAAGCTATACGTTGACCACAGACCAGCCATCGCTGATCTCCTGTCTACGAGGAATCCGTCGCTTGCAGCGCAGCTACTCAGAGATGGTATGGCTATCGGAAATTGCCTATGGACTTCTGAGCTCACATCGCATTTGCGTCCACCATTTTCATAGGCACAATCCAACTGACGTGAGGAATGGAATCGGAAAGAATTTTGCAACGTCTGAAGCATATGTTTTAGAGCACTACTACTACTCAACTTATTACAGACCGTGTTGGATTTCGTGAACCCCGTAAATGCTTGTTCTTTCTGCTCACGCCGCATCTTCTGCAAGATACTAATCACTCTGCCACACATGATATGCATATCGCAGACTGCTGAAGAGGTCATCGAATATTTGCAATTCTCGTGAAACAACCTCTTACATTTTCTCAACCAATGACACACTGACAATTGTACAGACTCACTCCCATTCTGAGCTCTCGTGTCCTCCTCAACATCCGAGCCACAGCGCAGTCCACGCGCGGAGAACAATCCCAAACACCCTCTTTCGTCCGGTCGCGGCGTGGAGTCCAAACACAAGATGACGTCGAAAACATGTCGTTCGAATTAAACGTCCTCAACAGCACCGAACAAGCCCCGCAGGGCGATCGCTCTCATCTGCAAGAGTCGATCGAACATGATGAAATTGTTGCTGTACCGCGAAGCACGGTGAGCAACGTTGCTACTGCTGGCGATGCTCAACAGGACGTGAACGAGGAAGAGGGGGTGGATGATGTCGAGGAAGAGATGGTGTCGGATTGGGAGAACGATGTGTGAGGGAGAGAGTGGGTATTCGAGCTATGCTTGCTATTTGTGAGTGGCACGTCAGCTTTCGTACGCTGCATCTCACAAGCTACGTTGGAAATTTTCTCCGCACATTCCCCTTTGTGTTGTGCGTGATAGAGCTGTTGATGGTCCAAGCCTCATCACGGGGCTGTATACCTGGCTTCACGCGTATTTATTGCACTATAGATTGTATAATGTCCTTCTAGTTCTACCGTCCGTGTTGATTGTATCTTTCGTTATTTCCTAGCATGCCTGCTATGACATGTGCAGTCTTCTGTTTCTCTTGCTTCAAGTCGGTGACACCCGCACGGATGGACCGAAAGTGGTGCCTATAACTTCGTGCTGAGGGCAGAGTGGGATACCTATCGTTACGGAGACGCGACGCGAAGTGCTATCTTCACGGCATCATCACGCAATTCAGTCGATTGTGGGTCAGTGGCGTACACAGGACGTCTCGAAGTTTACCAGCATAGAATACCGACTGCATGTCCTGAATATCGAAGAAACCGCATGACAGACCACATATAACGAAGGTCATTAGCTCTTCGTGATCATGCAAATTTTACCAAGACTGGGGCATTGTAATGATGGCTACATAATCGGATCATCAACATACAATGGTGAGATGCATGGATTCATCGGGTTGAGCTCCTTGCGCAGTTCGCCTATGGTGCTGGTCTCCACCGCGATGTCGAAAGCAACCAGACATACCAAGGAAGCGAGGCCATGCAGGCATCAGAAGTGCGATCAAGTGAGGTGAGATCGAACACGGACAGCAGCTCCAGACAGTATACGAGGCAGTCAGATCCTGATGCCTGGCGATTGTTTCTCTGGCGCCGTCTTGCATGATGACCGCGTGGAATGGGCACCGATGCTCAAGTTCCGAGTCGAGCCTCAGATCGGGCAGAGCCGTCGATGTCCATCGTACTGCCGTCTTAGAGCATGATATGTCCTGCCGCCCTAGCGACACAGTACGAGCGGGACTCAAGTGCACGCGCATCGTGCGGGGCAGTTCATGAGCCGTCCTCTCGCTGCAAACGTGACGTCGAGGTCATCCGTGGCCAGACGGTGAAGTAATTGACACCAACCTGGAAAGATCAGCCCGTGGTGATCACAGATAGCTATGCACGAGCTTCTGTCGCCCAACAAAATGAAAACGAGCGAGAATTAGGAAGCGCAGATGCCCGGGCATGAGATTGAGTTCGTCGCGATGTTCATACAATACATAGCAGGCTAGCCACAGATCAACAACGAGCATAGCCTGCAGTCCAGGCCCTTTACAGTCAGGGTTCCATGCATTGTAACGGGGTGAGTACAGGGCGCAATTCAAATGCCACGGGGAAGCTTAATATCGTGCAGAGCATACTTGTCCAACCGTGTTCAGCATGCGGACGTCCTCATCAACGTTTATCGCCAAGGACCACTTTCCTGTCACGTCCAAGGGTGAGATGTGCAGAGGACCCTGACACTAGGACTTCCTGATCGACCAGCACGACTCCGCAGAGGGGATTGGCTGGGTAGGTTTTACTCAACGCCTCTCATCTGCATCTAGATGCCTATACGAACGTCAGAATGAACGTAACTGCAAGGATAAAGGGTGTACGCTGACCCGCGGAGCTTTACACACGAAGGGATCACTGTAACTCCGAGCACCTTTAGCCTCAACCATACCGCAGGGTATGCTCTCAGACATCCATCGGTGCCGGTGTGCTGTAGTCCGAGGTTCGACTGGATGATCTGACCGCAATATGTCCTTGATCTGAACGCGACTTAACTGAGGGGGAACCAGTGGTACGCTAAGTGGAGTACGCATCAGTGTACATACGCTCGTCCTGAGGTCTATCGTGGCAAGTAACCGTGCATACTATGAAAAGGGAAGAGCAGCTAACCTGAAGTTCGCGATCAGAACCTCCATCGCCCGATCGACGTGAACGGTCAGATATCTCGAAGGTTGACTCTGAGAGCACCAAAAGTGCCGTTTGGTGAAGGACTTCCAGTACAGTAAAGGTCAATGAGGTCAAACGAGACTCGGGGTCAATGAGAATACATCAGTCGTGTCGTGTCGTCAGTTTCATGCTTTGTCTCGGTCATCATCGCAATGCCATCTCTGTATCCTCCCTCTGTGAATGCTTGGGCATCGCGCTGGATGAGCTCGTGCACACGCAGAAGAATCGGCTGACTTACCTGGATCTCAGCCCCTCATAGCACACGTTCACGGTCGGATAGGTTTCCGCGCTACAAAGAGCGCGCCAACCCCGACCTGCTCCACCTACACCTCCTCAAACTGGCCTCTCAGTGCTTTCTTCAGATCCTCGAAGCTATCATCTACATTTTCAAACAAGGTCGTTGTACAGCCGCACAAGGATCCTGCCCCGTATGTTGTGGTCCGCGTTCCGTCCTAACACCGTGGAGCCATACAGCACGCCACCGGTGCCAGTCTCCTCGACAGCTGGGCAAATACTTGGCTCGCCTTCACCGGGAAGGCACCCGGGAGGCAAGGTAGCACATAGAACATCAAGATGGAGTCGAACTTGGAGTGCAAGGACTCGGGGAGAGGGTCGAACACGCTCTGCTGCACCTTATCGATCGACCCCTTTCACCCCGCCGCATGCAGGCGAGACTCGGCAAGCTCCAGCGTATTCGGTTCAGGTCAAGTAAGGCGATGTTCTTGGTCTTTGCGAGCTGAGGCACAGAGTGCACGGGAGAGTAGCCCGTTCCGACTCTCACGTCAAGGTGGGCATTCTCGCCGATGTGGTTCTGGAAGAAGGGGAGGAGCACAGATTTCGTTGGGCAATGCCAGATGAAGAGGTTCGTGAGCGTGAGGACGCCGACGCCGTAGAAACGAAGGAGCCAGGCGTGTAATGAGGTGTACATTGTAATTACGAGCGGATGTGAGCGCCTCTCACAGCGCGCATACCGGCCCGTCTTCCGTCTCGGCGCTTGTCTATGGGCACTTGCCCTCTTCGCCGCTTTGCTGGTCCCTTGGCCGATCTTGCAAACACACAGGTTTCTACACAGGTTTCTACTCAGCATGGTGGACCAGTAGCTGGTTGTTTGGGTGCCCAGCTGTTCGTCCCCTCGTTTTCCAGCCGCGCGATGACTCACTCGTTTGTATTTTACCCTCTCCTAAGCCATCCCGCACCTCGCTCCGATCTCGTTTCCCTTCATGCACACGTCCTACTCTGTGCGTCCGATGCTGCGACTCTCTTCTATGCAGCGCAATCTCGTCCGCATCTCATTTGCATCGGCAGCTCGTCCGAATGCCCAATCCATCACGGAAACTGCGCTGCGGCACATCATGGCGCATTCATCATGCACTTCCGAACTGCACAACATAGTCATTACTCCATACGCAGCTGCAGCAACGATCTCGGCCTCTATATTACCGATCTGCGCACTAACTAGACGATGAGAGTGTATGCACCCGCACGCTCTTGTGCAAGCCTATACATTGTGCAGTCAGATCGTCGCTTCAAGTGGATATCTCTAGGGACGAAACGGGCGGGTTGTGAGGTGTAGTCGCCACGGCAGCCAGCAACAGATCAAGAATCTGGTCTCTTTTTCGCGATCCCTCATGTGAGACGCGGGATTCCTTCATTCCGAACTGCATATTTTGATCAGTTGCCGCATCTATTCAGGTATGCATGATCTCGTCATTCGTTCTGAGCCACTATCTGCGTTGTCGATTTTATGTGTAGACAAATAGATTTTGCCATATATCAGTTACCGGGTGATGTAACAGTACATCATGATGCAATACGGGCTTATAAACAGGCCGACTGTGAACCGCTTCATACTTCACAGTCCAATCTCTCTACCTAGACATGTCTATCACCACATCTGAAGCAACCGCTATATTGGAAGAAATGTGCGCCTCTTCAGATAGTTGAGACATACTGCATTGAACGATGTTTCATCAGCTTTCCAGAAAACTATGCCATCATTGCCGGCGCAGGCCAGTCGGGCATTTGCCCTTTATTACTGTTTGATCGCTGACCATTTTCATTCGAACAGCGCTCATACTCTTCGACCATGCCATAACATTTGGCCAGGAAGTCCAGCTGTTCTGGGGTGAACGATCATTCTCCGCATGGTTGTTCTTTGCCAATCGGATGCTCGCACTGGTCTATGCTAGCATTTCTGTTTGGTCCGTCATGAACATCTATACAGTAGCGGTATGCTGTTTAATATCACCTCAAATTGGTATATCTTTAATTCATTGATATTGTAGAGGTGATTTGTTCCCTGTCGCTACGTTTATCCGTATCTGACTGTTATAATGTTGTAGTTGTATGGCAAACTTTATGGCGAGCAATGTGGTTTTTGATCTCCTTGCGGTAATCTCACAGGGTAAGCTGGCATGCTTCATGACAAATTATCACAGCTCACACTGTAGCGAAGTGGTTACAATGTTACGAGTATACGCCGTGACAGGTGGCGACCGACGACCTGTTATGCTCGTCGCATTGATGACGGTCCTCAACGTGGTCTTTGATGCCTACACTGGTACGCCTCCTCTGGTCAGGACATATTCTTGATTGACTGACGACGAATCGATGAGCAGAATTCGCCCAAATATCATATTCCGTGGTCATATTGAATAGGACAGCCATATGCAGCCAGTCCTACGCTTCAAGTTCAGAAAAAGATGTCGTTACAAGGTTTGTCAACCAGTATCGCCAATGAATCTGTACTTGCTAATTTGTTATTCAATAGATGTGAGGTCGAACTCAAGAATGCTTTCCTGCACACTTTTTTGACAATCCCGCTGCAGTGGAAATAGCCAGTAGTGCCTTTGCTGCAGTCGCTGCCATCATGACGCTCGCAATCTTGTGGCGCAAGCTATATGTTGACCATAGACCAGTGATCGCTGATCTCCTGTCTACAAGGAATCCGTCGCTTGCAGCGCAGCTACTCAGAGACGGTATGGCTATCGGACAATGACTATGGATTTCTGAGCTCACATCGCATTTGCGTCCACCATTTTCATAGGCACAATCCAACTGACGTGAGGAGTGGAATCTCAAACAATTTGACAACGTCTGAAGCATATCATTTAGAGTACTACTACTACTGAACTTGCTATTGACCGTATTGACATTCGTGAACTCCGTAAGTGCGTGCTCTTTCCGCCCACTCCATATCTTCTGCAAAATGCTAATCACTCTGCTGCACATGACTATGCATATGGCAGGATGCTACATATATCATCGCATATTTGGAATACTCGTGAAGCAACCCTCTTACATTCTCTCTACCAATGACACGCTGACAATTATACAGACTCGTTCCCATTCTGATCTCTCGTGTCCTCCTCAACATCCGAGCCGCAGCGCAGTCCACGCGCGGAGAACAATTCCAAACACCCTCTTTCGTCCGGTCGCGGCGTGGAGTCCAAACACAAGACGACGTCGAAAACATGTCGTTCGAATTAAACGTCCTCAACAGCACCGAACAAGCCCCGCAGGGCGATCGCTCTCACCCGCAAGAGTCTATTGACCGTGATGACATTGTTGCTGTATCGCGGAGCACGGTGAACGACGTTGTTACTGCCGGCGATGCTCAACAGGATGTGAACGAGGAAGAGGGGATAAACGAAATCGAGGAAGAGGTGCTGTCGGATTGGGAGGATGATGTGTAAGGGGAGAGAATTTGCTTGCGATTCAAGTTTGTGAGTGGCACGTCGACCTTCGTACTCCCCGTCTCATCCGGCTGCATCTCGCAGACCTTCTATAATTTGTTGCGTTCTTTTCGTCTCGGCTCCGCACAATATGGCCATTGGCGTTTCAAGTTTCGTCGCAGGGCTTCACAGCCAACCTCAGCAGATACAATTGCATTATAGATAGGCTCGTCTAATATGTTTCTTCTTTCACTGCTCCTCTCCATGATATCTATCATCACTTTCCTGCGTGCCTGGTACCACGTGCCTACGCCTCGCTTCCCTGAGAGAACCACTCAAAGCAGTAAATCGCACGACACGCGGATCGTGTCTCTATGGTGCAACGGCTCCGTATGCTACGAGCCATTTATCTCCCGCTGCAATACGTAGCTGAAGAGCACTGTTTGGGGGGGGGGGGGGGTTCCCCGCGCTAAGGCCAGGTTGAGCAGACTGTTCCCCACCGAGGTTTCATTGCGCTGCACCGGTCATTCATTGGTCAAGACTGAGAGCTGCTCCATCTACGAATATTGCGGCCACCTCCGGACGCTCGACGAGCTCTGAGAGCGAATTGCAGGCCTTCTTCACTTGCACCTCACGATATGAGCCTAAGGCGCGAATGTTCAGCAAAGTAGCCTTGCATTCATCTCCAATGCTGGCGCCATTGTGCATCGGAAGAGAGGAGAGGCATGACCATTTCCGAACCAAGCCTATAGACTTTATCATGAACGGTCCCTCCCATTAGATGATGCTGGTGTTTCAAAATCGCTCAAAGGACGTGAGGCGGCGTGTCTGAGTAGTTCGCATCCACGGGTCTGCACGATTGTTAGCTACCTTGACAGAATTGAGAATAAAGCCGACCGCTTAAACATGCGTGTATAGATTACTGACCTGGATGGCGAAATCAATCACTTGAATACTCACTATGTTACGACGCATACCGAATGCTAATGCTGTAACGTCTCCCCCACTCTGCGAACACAATGTGCTAAGACTGCATGGCGTGGACGTGATCAAGCAATGGAAGACCGATTAATCTCAAGAAGAATCGAATGTTGCGTCGCGCAGAACAATAGCTCTATCTCCTCGCAAGAAAATACGTGACACCACTGTCGGAAGGTCACTCAGAGTGAGCATTGTCGACGATGGAATCCAAGTATGCCGCTATCGAGTTAAACCCGCCGGTGAAGGGTACCCATAAATGCTGATAATAATGAGTACGGTGCTATGGCCATTAGATATCGCGTCGCTTACAGACAGAAACTGTGTATTCGAGTGTGCAAATGCCACGCAAGCGTCGTATTGATGCGCAAGGGTTGTAGACATGGAAGTGTTGACATTATTTCGGTATGTATTCTGTTCGCGCTCTATTTGCAAGTGGTTAGAACACTACGATTCGTTCAGTCAGAAGGTGAAAGCTCTCCAAGGTCTGATGTCTATCATTAATGACCCATGACCCTGTCGGCGTATCAAACGGACGTTGTACAGCATCACGGTTCTTCACAACAAACATCGAAACCGGAGGCCGACGTCGAAGAGAGGTCCACCCATGGCCACGCAGCGCCTAGTGCAGGAAGTCGGCGCTCACATTAACGTCGCTGCTTGAAAGCCTCGAACTCGTCCGAACTTCATAGAATCCCCTCGCGCAGTCGCAAGCTCCAAGTAGCCGGCTGGTCACTGTGAAACGGGCAGTCAACTCGTTCAAATGGAAAGAGGGAACTCACGGGATGGGCGCCGAAGAGAGATGCATGAGGTGAGAGTTTGCGTCGGGCTTAGCTCAGATTGCGAGGACGTGTGGCAACGAGGACGAATCCACGCAGGTGGATTATTGGGACGTCGGTGCGTAGTGTTCCTCGTGGACGAAGGGCGGTGAGTTGTCTGATCTCTGCGTGATTGCGGGGAGGCAGATTATGAAGCAGATCAATTAGAGTGCAGATCGATTACGTGCGTGCGCACCAGTGCAGCGCCGCTGCTTTCTCCTGCCACAACTGTTCATACCACAAACGTGTCATTCACAGAGCGTTGCATTATAGGTCATGAACGTTTGGACGTTGAACGCTAGCATCAGCATGCTCGCTCTACCCTTGAAGTCACGTGGACAACAATCGATACAGGTGTCGGATAACGGGTGGGCAGTTTCACGATAACCCGGCGGCCAAAATTGGTAGCAAAGGCTGAGTGCGGAGCTGCTCACCTGCCGCTGTTGGAAAATCCACGGATAACCTTGGGAATACTGGACAAGCTAGTACTCAAGGTGGAACTGGGGGCGGCCGCGGCATCGGTTTTAATCCTGCCGCCTGGTACGGAGCATCCGCCGAAGTGATCGCAGCTGAAAACGACCGGCGCAAGGCGGACAACGCTGACAGAGCCCGCCGTCGTGCAAGTGATGAAGAAACCGACGACGAACTCTTGCTGGATGACGACGGACTCGAGAGGCCGGGTCTCTCTGGCAGCGGCACTACTCCTCCAACTCCTCCGAGTCCTCCTGGTCAGACTCAACTATCAGGTGCACTGCAAGGCCTTTCTCCTACCCGTCGACAAGCTATCCTCAAAGCGGTCGAAGCACTCACTAAGCAGGCGCATACACCCACCCCGCCGCATACATCGACTCAGTCTAACGGCGGGTCAACCTCCGCCCCTACCTGCGGGTAGTCCTTCGCTCACACAACTGTATTTACACATCTTCGAGACCGCCTTCGGGGGTCTATAAATATTGTGATTAAAAAAGAGCGCCACACCAACAAAACTTTAGATGCCCATTAAGCTCTCAGTGCGCCGTCCGGCCGCGCACCTTTCTCCCGATCTCGGTTGCCTTCATACACCCTGCCCGTGATCACCGCCGCAGCGCCTCTTCTATGCCTCGCCCGCATCTCATCTGCCTCGGCAGCTCCGCTGCATGCCAAATCAATCATCGAGACTGCGCTGCGGCACACCACGGCGCATTCATCATGCACTTCCGGAATCCGAACGCACAAATTAGTCCGCACATAGCAGCAGTGATTTCGGCCTCTGTATTACCGACTTGCACGCTAACCAGAATATGAGAGTGTATGCACCTGCACGCGCTCTTGCGCAAGCTTGTATGTGCGGTCAGATCGCCGCTTCAGTTGGATATCTCTAGGAACGTTCTCTCAAAGTCCGTGAATCGGGCGGGCGGTGAGTGTATAATCATCACGGTAGCCAGCAACAGGTCAAGAAATTGATAAGTTCTTTTCGCGATCCCTCATATGAGATGCGGGATTCCTTCATTCCGAACTGCATATCTCGTTCAGTTGCTGCTTCTGTTCACGTATGGATGATAACGTCATTCCTTCTGAGCCACTACCTGCGTCGACGAATTTATGTATAGACGAACAGGACATATATCGGTATACGGGTGATGTAGCAGTACATCATGATGGAATATGGGCTTATAAACAGGCCGACTGTTAGCCAGTTCATAGCCCATAGTCCAATCTCTCCAGCTACACATGTCTATCACAGCATCTGAAGCAACCACTCTATTGGAAGGAGGGTGCGTCTCTTCACACGGTTGGAACTGTACTGCATTGAATGATGTGTTATCAGGTTCACACAAGATTATGTGCTTATCGCCGGTGCAGGCCAGTCGGACGTTTCACGCTTATTATTGACTGGTCATTGACGATTTCCATTCCGACAGCACTCATATTCTTTGAAAACGTCATTACATTCGGCCAGGAAGTTCAGCTGTTCTGGGGCGAACGATCGTTCTCTGCATGGTTGTTCTTTGCCAATCGGATGCTCGCATTCGCCTATGCTAGCATTTCCGTCTGGTCCGTCATGAACATTGATACAGTAACGGTACGCTGTTTAATACCCACCTCAATTTGATACATCCTCGACTTATTGATATTGTAGAGGTGATTTGTTTCCTGTTGCGATATTTACCCGTGTCTGACTGTTATTATCTTATAGTTGTATGGCAAACTTCATGGCGAACAATGTGGTTTTCGAACTGATTGCGGTCATCTCAGCGGGTAGGCTCGCATGCTTCATGACAAATCATCGCAGCTCAAAATGTAGCGAAGTGGTTACGATGTTACGAGTATACGCTGTGACAGGTGGCGACCGACGACCTGTCGTACTCCTCGCATTGATAACGGTCCTCGTCGTGATCTTAAATGTCTACATTGGTACGCTTCCTCTGGTTAGGACATATTCTTGATTGACTGACGACGAATGGGCGAGAAGAATTTGTCCAAGCATCATATTATGTGGTCATATTGAATAGGACAGCCATATGCAACGAGTCGTATACTTCAACTTCAGCGCAAGATGTCGCTACAAAGTGTGTAAACCAGTATCGCCAGTAAACCCGTACTTGCTAATTTGTTATTCAATAGATGTGAGTTCGAACTCAACAATGCTTTCCTTTACACTTTTTGACAATCCCGCTGTAGTGGACATAGCCGATAACATCTTTTCTGCAGCCGCCGCCATCATGACGCTCGCAATTCTCTGGCGCAAGCTATACGTTGAACATAGACCAGCCATGGCTGACCTCCTGTCTACGCGAACTCTGTCGCTTGCAGCGCTACTGCTGAGAGACGGTATGGCTATGGGACAGTGCTCACAGATTTCTGAGCTCAAATAGCATTTGTGTCCACCATTTTCACAGGCACAATCCAACTGACGTGAGGAGTGGAATGGGAAACAATTTAAAAATGTCTGAAGCATAATACTCAGAGCACTACTACTATTGAACTTACTATTGACGGTGTTGACATTCGTGAACTCCGTAAGTGCATGCTCTTTCCGCACACGCCATATCTTCTGCAAGATGTTAATCACGCTGCCGCACATGACGATGCATATGGCAGACTGCTGTAGTTGTCGTCGGATATTTGGAATTCTCGTGAAGCAATCCTCTTACATTTTCTCTACCAATGCCACACTGATGATGTTATAGACTCGCTCCCATCCTGATCTCTCGTGTCCTCCTCAACATCCGAGCCGCGGCGCAGTCCACACGCAGAGAACAATCCCAAACACCCTCTTTCGTCCGGTCACGGCGCGGAGTCCGGACACAAGACGACGTCGAAAACATGTCATTCGAGTTAAACGCCCTCAGCAGCACCGAACAAGCCCCGGCGAGCGATCGCTCTCATCCGCAAGAATCTGTTGGACATGATGAAATTGTTGCCGAACCGCGAAGCATGGCGCGCAACGTTGCTATTGCCGGCGATGCTCAACAAGACGTGAAGGAGGAAGAGAGAATGGACGATGTCGAAGAAG